GAAGCTCAGCAGGTGTGAGCCTGGTCAGTACCTGGATGGGAGACCTCCTGGGAAAAACTAAGGTTGCTGCTGGAAGAGGTGTTAGTGGGGCCAGCAGGAGGCGGTCTGTGGTCTGCGTGGGTCCTAATTCTCCAGTATAGTGACAGGGACACTATACTGTAAAAAGGCGCCATCCTTCGGATGAGACCGAGGTCCTGACTCTCTGTGGTCATTAAAAATCCCAGGCCATTTATGAAGTGGCTTCATTACTCTGTTCTCCTCCCCACTAATAGCTCGTGTGTGGTGAGCGTTCTGGCGCACTATGGATGCTGTTGCATCACCCAGGTGGATGCTGCACATTGGTGGTGGTGGAGGAGAGTCCCCATTACCTATAAAGAGCTTTGAGTGAAGTGTCCAGAAAAGTGCTATATAAGTGTAAACAATTAATATGAATTATTACTATTGGTCAATGAAGTGTGTTGACAAAGAACACAAGAAGAAACAATCTGATCATTTCCATGAAAGGAAAGATATAAACAACTCACTCTAGGTTGTTCTGCAAGTAGTAGAGCACGCCCAGCTCATTAAGGGTTCTGGCGTTGTCCGCGGTGTCGCTGCCCAGAGTCAGCTCCTCCAGCTGAAGGGCCCGGCGCTGCAGGAGGGTGAACCCATACTGCGGAGGACGAGAGTCATGCTCATTTTCCAACATACTACTTTGCACACGTTTTACTGCAAAAATCTGAAAATTGAATAGCTACCCCGTCCCCCCAAAAGTAATATGTACAGTACAATCCCTTATACTTTTAGTTTATTTAGAGCCACCAATTAATTTTGTTATGCTGACTTGTAACAGGGTTCCTGTCCAGACTTTGGTCATATGAACCAGCAGTAATCGCTGACTTGGTCAATACCTCTTAATCGGGGATAGAAAATTAACGATTGGGTCTGTCAGTGATAATTATTCTCTTTGAAAAGCTGCTTTCGATATCATAAAAGAAAAGAAAATTCTCCTCTTAGGAGAGAGAAGAAAAGACGTGCACATACAGTGCTATAATGCTTGGGCAAGGTTCTGCAACGATTGCTGAACACCCGTGTGACCATGGTGGCAATGATAGTATTATTGCATGTCCACATGGCTGTCAGGGAAGCAAGGACCAAACCAAATCCCTTGCCTTAGTATGCACTGAAGCAGAGGTCACCGGATATTCGACTTGGAAAACTTGAGAGCCACCATTAAAGGCGCTATATAAAATAAAGTTTATTATTATTATTATTACAACACTCAAAACGCAATGGATTATTGTCTGTCACAACCACATACAAGGTAAAATGAGGACACTGAGGCAGATTCCTCTGACCAGCCAACTTTCCTCTCCTCACTTTTAACCCTATTTTGAAAGCACAATTCAAGAAAGATTTAGAAATAAATTAATAAGTATTTCTGCAATTGTGTCACGGAATACCTCTGTCAGCATGAAGCACAGAATTAAGGATATTATGTATGACTTCTATTCATCAGGAGCATGCTGGATAATGTTATGGTGAAAAAAAATGTCCTGGATAAAACAAATTCCCAGATCACCAGATTTAAAACAGTCAAGATTTCATAGCTGGCTCCTGGTCGCCAAATAGAAGCGAGAGCAATTAAGGGCAGAACCAGTGATCCCCAGATTTTACATGCATCCCAGCAGGTACCAAAAGCAGCACAATTCAGAAGAAGAGGAATATTAAGTAAGCCTAAGTCAGAAACCAACAGCAAATCATTAGCTCCCTTAACAAGTGCTATCGTGGATCCGTTTCACTGTGCATACCCCGACTGAAAAGGTTCAAAGAGTTCACTGGATGCAAGATGAGATTGTAATTGAGCTGCCACCACCCATTCCAAACATTTTGAGAGAAATTATAAATAGGACAGTTATTGTTTTTTAACATAAAAGTGGCAGCAGATGGTTTTAAGCCATTATGAACAGTAGTAGGCTGTATAGTAGTTAGTGACAAATAGAAAAAGAGTACAGAAGCTAGCTTTAAGGAGATGAGTACAAACCGAGTCCAGGACACAGGTAAGAGGCCTCATTTAACTACCACCTTAGTTACCTAGGCAGTATTTAAAGGAGTATTAACATACATATTATGTATTTTGTTGTGAATCATTTTCAGGAATATACTGCATTATTCATGAAGGAGAGGAGAGGCAGACTTGCAAACTTACTGTATGGATCAAATATTTTATTGGTAGGTGGAAAAGGATTAAAGGATTATTGCAAACCCTTTCAACAATATTATAATTACAGAAGAGTCCGTAGACTTGCTGATGTCATTTGTAAGCTTGCAGAAGAACAAGAATCAATACTGTCTTCATGCACAACTACTCAAAACATCACCTTTCTAGGGTAACTATAATAAGCATTCCTTTCACTCCTTACCATGTTCCCTCTTTGACGAGCAGTCTTCTGTCTTATCTTTAAAGACCTCTTCCTCAGTTTTTCAGCTTGTTCAAATCTGGAAAGGCACAACAGACTACTGCTGAAATATCATCTTCCCCAGTCCACTCAAGAAACAGGTCCCATCTATCGCAGCGCGGTGTCTCTGTGGGCAACACTAAAACTGGAAAGGAATGACATAGCTACAGCACACTGCACTGGCTAAGACGATATTCAGTCCAGTAATATGTCATGTCATTTGCAAAACCACTTTATACCATACAGTGTCACGGGAAGCAACGAGCACAAGGCAGGGTACACCCTGGCCAGTCCATTGCAGGGAAAGTGCTAGCCAGTCATACTTGGGGACAATTTGGAGGCCACGGTAAAGGCCGAGGGGGGAAATTTGGCCCGGACACAGGGATAACTCCCTACTCTTATCAAGAAATCTTTAATGACCATTGAGAGTCAGGACCTCGGTGTAACGTCTCATCTGAAAGACGGTACCACTACAGTAGAGTGTCCCCGCCACTATACCGGGGCATTAGGACCCACGCAGACTGCAGGGTGGGCGCCCCCCGCTGGTCCCACTAACACCACTTCCAGCAGCAACCATAGCTTCCCAGGAGGTCTCACATCCAGGTACTGACCAGGCTCAACCCTGCTGAGCTTCAGTGGGTAGCCAGTTGAGAGCTGCAGGGTGATATGGCTGCAGCCCAGACCAGTAATATGTATAGAATAAATTAAAAAATAAGTGATTGCCTTTTTAATTGCTGCAATTATTAAAATACTGCATCAGTAAGTACTTGCTGCGGTTTTTTTCTATTTCATTCATATTTGGTGAAGTTAACTTGTATCTATGGAAGAACCCTCATTTCCATGTTATGCATTATATTCACATATAACAGCTGCTTTTGTTTGTTATAATTTACTAATGTTTTTGCATTTACTTAACCTTAGAAACAAGTAATAAGTTACATGCACTTCAAATTGGGTTAAAATGCTATTAATCTTACTTGTATTCACTCTAATTCGTACCAGAACAGATCTGGTTATCCATTTCTCTATTATTTGTATTTATCCACTAGAAAAGACCATATTGTTACACAACTATTTATACAAATCAGAGCAACACCAACATGTGGTCTTCTCTTATCTTTCGGTCAAATTTACTTGAATATGACTACTGCAGGTCAAAACTAGATTACCATACTTGTTTTGTTTCTGGTACAGTATTGTGAGAGAGTCCAATTCACGAGCCACTCTGGGGTGATCTGACCCATAGGCATTTTCACTGATCTCCAGGGCCTGTTTGTACAGTTGCTCGGCATTGCCAAACTTCTTCCACTGCACATAGACCCCAGCCAACTGGTGTAAAGACTGAGCCACGCTGGGGTGATCAGGGTCCAGTGCTGTCTCTCGTATCTCCAGTGAGCGCTGTAAGGGAGCCACAGCCTGTATAACGATAAAGTCCAGAGAGAGTTCATGAAAATCTGAACATGGAAAAAAAAAAACATTTTTTACACAGCAGAGTTAAGAGTGTCAAAATAAAAGAGGGAACAATCATTTAATATTCAGCCCTACCGTGTTTAGAAGAACAACTTTGATAGAAATTATTAATGACTGCAAAAAGCAGTTGATAATGTTTGGTATGCCCATTTTAACATAGCATTCCTCCAGAGTTTGCTGAATCAATATTAAAAATATATAGCCCCAATTTAAGATGTGATGAAAACATAAGTTATTAGCAATTTTATACAATCATTCAAAAGAACCTTGTATAACTTTACTGCTACTACTATTTACTACTAATACCAATTCCTACTTTACCGGTTTGCTTATTGCTTATTGGTTTAACACAATATGTTCTGTCCCTAAACCTACTGTATATGATATAATACTAAATAAGCCACTGCTGTCCATAACCATATGCAGTGGGTTTTATTTAGTTTATTACTATGGTGAAAGCATAACATGTTCTCTACAAATTGAAAGGGACAAATTATATTAATACATAACTACAGTGATTTTACAAAAAATACACATACTGAATATCCCACAGTAGTACAGTTTAATAAGAAATAAATAACTGCAATTAAACCCATAAGGTGGCTTTTTCACATATAGAGGATATAATATTTTGGGTAGACAGACTCTTAACTGTTTTCTGCTTATTTATCAAAATCCCATGTTGATTTATTTACAAAAGGCAAGAACAAGCATATTATTATATAAAAGTCTTGAGTTTCACAAAAATAACAAAAGTGGAAACTAGAATAAGTGTCATCACACTGCCATGGAGAATGTTGCAGACTTCTACAGATATCTAATATGAACTAAAACAACAGAAGATAGAAATGTGCTGACAGCTTCAAGTGTTTTAACAGAAAAATAAATAAATCTAAAAATGGAACCCAAATAGTTTAATCATTTTGGGACTCATTTAGCTGTGGAGTCTTATTTCTTAAAACAAAGGTCTCATTAGCACTACCTTAGAAACACAGATAGTTCCACTGTACTTAAAGGTACTTATCAGTTCTAATTGCTATTTGCACTTCTTTCAAAGCTACTTGAAAGTGTTCCAGTATGATGTTCTTTGCTCTTTCTCAGTCTGAAACGCGGTTTTAGGTGTTTTATGATAGCAATGTGTGCCTTAACTGAGATGGACTTCAGGCATGCAATATCCATATTACTGTAAGTCAATAATGTAGATACACTGTAGCTCTTAGATAATAAGCACAATGGTACATTTGTAATCAAAGTGGAGATTTAAAATCTGAAAAACTACAAGGTCATGGAATCTTAAATCATGAAACAGATGATACATTAGTACCAATTCAACACATGCAGGCAAATGTAGGATAACTTCATAGGTTGCACTTGTGCAATAAGCCTTGATTTTTATCTCAGAAAAGGCATAATGTTGTATTTACATGTTACAGGTTGTTTTCAAGTTCCATTCTGCCTCAAACTCTGCTAGTGAACACAGAATAATATATGCTTACCCTAGACAAATCCCAACTAATCTGACTGAGAGAAAGGAAAATTTAAAGTTGTTTTTAACTTTAATCCACAAAATAAACTTTTGTCATAAACTGAATTATACTTTCTTGGAAACGTGTCTAAAAGGCTGTTAAAAAACATTTAGCCAACCTTTTTATTTTTTAGATTCTTTAGCCTTATGTCTGTCAAAAGCTTGATTAAACAAAGTATGGTTGTGATGTTCTCAGTGCTCCTGTATATGTTTAAAAGAAATTCAGGGGTAAATGTATACTTTGCAAAAAAATACGTTTTTCATCTTAGGGTCTTTTACATTTTTTTCAGCTGAGCTTGAAGCTATAGATTTCACAACAGCACTCAATGCGCTTAAAACAAGATGTGCACTGTGTCTCCAAGATTCAGATACAGACGAAGTGCTGGTACCTGACTGAGAAGACCCAGATCCTTCAGGAATCGTCCTAGGGTTTCGTAAAGGTTGGCCAGTTGGGTCCTGCTATCCTCGCTCTCACAGCTCTTCTCGTATTGCTTCAGTGAGTCAAAATACTCGCTGGCCATGGAGTTTTTGTCCTTCCCTACATACTGCCAATAGGCCAGCAACTGTGAAAAATGACCCCTACACAGAGCACAAGCAAAACAAAAAATAAATAAATAAACAGATGAATGAATCATATTACAAGGGACTGTTTCACACATTTTTCTACAAACAATTGTGGGGGCAAAAATTAATGTGGCGACTATTCTGATGTTAAACTGACTGACTTCAATTCGGTCAGCAAGGTGATTCATAAGATGCTGATAGGGGTTTCAGGTCAGGCCCCTGTCTTGGTAGGTGAAGGATCCAAAGATGGTAGGCAGAAAGTTTACAATTTAAATCAAGGGACATTATGTTAAAACTGTATAAAACACTAGTAAGGCCCTGTCTAAAATATTGTGTATAATGCTGCTCATAATGTTATATAATTTTATTGTGGCTCTGAAATCCATCTAGATAAGAGCAACCAGATACATCTGGGGCTTAAGGGAACGTCTTACAGTGACAGGCTGAACCTTCAGAGTCTTGAACATAAAAACTTTGAGAGGACCTGATACAAGTACATGTATGCAAAATCCTCAAAACACAAAGTCAAATCTGAATAATTGGTAAGACTAAACATAAGAAACTAAGACTAGTGGGAAACTACATGGAGGTGCATTTAAAATCAAAAGCAGTTGACACGATTTTACCCCAAAACAACAAGCTACCCAGCCATGGTGTTGAAGTCAACATCTGAGTTTCTTTCAAGAAACCATCAGGATGAGATCCTTGGATCAATTAACTACTACCATAAGGTATAGAGGGGACAAATGCCTTCTTCTTATTTGTAACCATTCTTATGTTTTTATGTAAAACTAAACCTGTCCACTATGAAGTTCCCAGGCAGTTTTAAAAGTGGGAAATTCAAGGGGGTTTCTAGGCACAGCCTATTTGCCACACATGAAAACACTCAGACATAAATGTGTTATATGTTTTTATAATGAATAAAGAAACTAATGAAAGTAATGCGCTCTCTTAACCTTTTATAAAGATTCTGGGAGATGAACAGGTTAAGCAGACTACTGTGTAGCTTTGGTTTCTCTTCCTGCTGCAGAAACAACCATGGCAGCTCGTCCGCGACCCTCCACGTCACTCTGTCCTGGCTACAAAATCAGAAATGGTGGAAGTGAGATACCAACAGGCACAAACCCATAATTCCTCATTCAATGAAAAGTGAACCCACACAATACTGATTTCACATAAGTTAGAACCCATGAAAAGTATCGCATCCCCCTCACAGAAAACCAGAAGAGAACTGTGACTTGGCTTGCCCGAGAAGGAAAGGTTTCCTTTACTATCAAAAACTCACTTTCAAAAGATGATTAGATAACAAACTAGCTGTGTCTCACTGTTTCTGAGTAATGAGTGATAACTTAGGATGATGATATGCTCTTAGACTGAAAAGACACAGAACAACGAATGTGATTTATTCATTTCTATCATATAGCTCCTTACACACCTGAGCTGTTGGCTGAAGTACTGGATGAGTTTCTCTCTGTGTATAGAAGAATTAAGCTTTCCGTTCATGTACTCAAGTCTCACTGCCTCCCAAGCCTAGGATAAAAAAAAAACATCAATTTAAACTTCTGTCACACAGCCCAGATTTAGAGGGTGATATAATTTTATGAAATGCACGATCTTGTTCTAGGATGTAAACGACTGAAGATATCTGTAGATCGCTGGCACATAAGATTGGGAAGCACTTTACGCTGAAATTCTCATAACCCTCAGCTGCAGCTCTGACCAACTCCAAAGGTTTTTGTGGCTGAAAGGAAATGCATATAACCCTCAATATATAAAGCTACACCACCATCTTCACAAGGATACCACGATGAGACAGGAGGGACTAATATAGAAATTGAGAATATATTTATACAGAATTTCTATATAGAAACTGTCATATTTCCTAAATTGAAATTGTTGACAAATTACCAATTGGTACCACTGCTATACATTAAAGTTCTGTAGCATTAAAGACATGTATCTACAGTATTGTTTGGCTTTCAGATATTAGAAGTTATGATTTCTTCCCACTATTGAAACTGTTCATGTTTGGAGACCAGGAAACATTGTACTTAGCATCTTTACTTGCACTGGGATTGAATCTGTGGCAATAATTGGGGTCCTGTGTGAACCAAATTATGTACTGGCCTGTATATATAGTTTTTAAAACACTTTCAAACTCATCTATTTATGAATCACTGGATCAATTGAATTTAAAACTTAAAAATTGCTAAGATATCCGAAAACCTAAGAGAATTCTGGCACCTTAAATGAGTCATAAACCATTTTGAGAAACATGACCATCACACATACAGTATTGTTACTGCTTATAACCTGGCAGTTTACTCCAAAATGTACAGGTATAGTTCTAGCACCAAAAGGATGAAAATGATGATGCTGCATAAAGCAAGACAGCCTCTTGGCCACCATCTTTTTTGTATCTCATTCATAGATGGACCATTACAGTAACTCCCACTGTTTTAAAATTGTACAGTCAATTATTTCCAAACATGTTAAGTATTTTTTCACTGAGCATACCATTAATGTCTAATGCACTTTCCAATTGTACCAAGATGGCTGCATGATCACCATTTTGTTCTTGCATCTCAAACTCAGTCTTAGGGATGACTAAACCAATTGAACTGAAGATTTAGCACATTCCATCTGCTACTGATACTGATACAAAGTACTGACTTCCCATCAGCCACCGCAAGCCATCAACGGCTAGGCTTCTAACAAATTTCTTCTGTTCAAGGGCTGTTTGGCCAATGAACTACAAAGCATGGCAGATAGTATTCTTGTAACAATGCAACTAACATATAGCAAAATACTATTCCTTCCTCAACCATAATGCCTGCCTGACAAAATGAAAACTACAGCCGTCTTGGGTTCCACAGCACAGACTGCCGTGGCTGGTTTCATAATGCCGAAACATAATTTAAACCTGCATCTCACAGGTTGCAATGATCCTTTTAATACCCTCACAATGTCATCACCTGCTTGGCGAAAAGCAATCCTGAAATAGGAATCCACAATTTTATTCACATCTATGAGCATCTTACAGTAAACCACAAACAACTGCAAAAACGGTTTGGCCAAAAAAAGCATGTCAGCACTCCATTCAGTTCTATGAAGAAACAGAAATTTTGGTAATACTTTATATAAATGTTGCTGCATTTATACAAGACATTATAACCACGTCCACAATACTTTACATGGATATGCACAGATGACATAATGTGTGCAGAAGAGGTCATGACGTTTGTTTTAGTATCTTTCCCAGTACTTGGTATGATTAATAACTAGTGTATTAAAACAAACACCTTTTGGGGTCATAAGAAACACTAGGTACGGTTTTAAAGTTTTTCAGAAAAAAATTTTGAATTACCCACCAGTGACAACATTTATGGAATGTAACCTTACAACCACACATAGGACTTAATCCCACCTGAAAATGCTGAAACTTGATCAGTCCGCAGCCAAAGGTCACAAAGCACAGGTTCTTCAGCTTGTGCAGAAGACAGGCGGACACTGGGAAGGTCAGGTCAGGAAACATATCCAGCACCTCAGACTCACTCACTCCATTGTGACTCATAGAGACTAGACACACCATCTGAGCACAAAGAAATGATATCTTTCATTATCTGATATCTTTGATTTCTTTTAGAAATCAATATAAAATTATCTTGCCAACTTAATCTTTATACTGTAATTTGCCACGCTCATCAAAAAGTAATAGAAATTATGAAAGCTGTACAAATGAACATTGAAATTTTAAACCTCCTTAGAAGCTAGATTAGATTGGAGCTATATTTGCTTTCAAGAAAAAAGAAAAGTTTGAAAAGAGCATCTTCCTTTACCTTGCTTTATTAGTGAAACACGTAGGAAAAGTACTAGTCATTTACTAGTGATAACATGTAATAAGTACCGAGGTAGGTTTGTCTATAATCTCTTCAGTCCTAGGATATCAGTCATAAACATAATGTATAATGCAGTAATAGATGGTTACTCTAAAATAAAATACAACCAAAACTCATCCATGATTCCTTGGATAACATTAAGAATCAATTGGAGCAGCAAACCTCTCTCATGATGTGCTTTTCTCTCTCTGTGCACAGTGTATTCTGTACCACTCTCAGCCCCAGCCTGTAAAGAGACACTGTGTCCTGGCACTGAAAGCACTGTTCAAGGGCAGCATCCATACTCCACACTGTTGGGATTCTGACAACATAGGAGAAAAACAGGTCAAGGTCACATATTCTTTTTATAGTAAGAAATGCTGAGAAATGAAACACAGCATTTTTTATAATGGAGATAAAAAACATCAAATTACATTTACCACAATTATAAAAAAAACAATTACTGGTCTCCTGTTCCAGGAGAAAATATTATATTTAAACTATAGTTTCAGCAAAAATATTAAAATGCTTTTATTTAATATACACAAAAATATTATTTGGGAAGCCTCATTCTTCCCCAACCTCTTTGTTTACCTAGTCTTCCTCTTGAACAGACAGCTGCAATGGTGGTGTCATTAATGGAGCCTTGTTGAATTTTATCTCATTTTCGAGCCCCATATACAGTAGTTCCCTCTCTGACATTTAGAAAGGTTCATTCCGGAAGGATGTCAGCACTGCCATGACCTCCATCCATTTCTGAACCACTTTATCCAATATAGGGTCACAGTGAAGAAGTGCCTACCAGCATCTTTGGACAGTGGAGGGAAACCAGGGGGAGACCCAGGCAAACATGGGGAGAACATGCAAAATCCGCATATAGAGCACCCCAGGAAATGAACCCAGGGTCACTGCGCTGCACGCTATTGTATCAATATTATTCAAAAAAGGATCCCAAGCTTTGCAGGAACTATAATCCTGTTTCTGATTTGCTAGCTTCATTCCAGGGAGTTCTAAATCCAAGGACATTCCCCAGATTCTCCACATTACACATACAATATGTTAATGCCGAAAGGGTGTTAACAAGAAAAAATGGTCATCCCGGTTTGCTTGTTTCAAGGGGTATGATCCTGGGCTGCCTCCTTTCAACATTGTTCTTTACCTTGTTCATTAGTCTACTATTTTGACCTCTGCTTCTTTCCATTTTTTGAATAACCATATTCAATAAAACCGTCACCATTTCTCCTTACTGAAGATCTACAGTTATAAGCAGAACACAATCCCTCTTCACTGCCTCATCTACTATTTCTGATGATTGTGGTGCTCTTTCAAGGTATAAAATGTAATTGGTCCACATCAGCATTATTGTCAGAGGTCCATTATTTTGGACAGTACCCGATTGTGCCACAGGTCAAACACTTCAAATATCTTGGTATTGAATTTTATTCTTTATTACACATCTTTTAAATAAACAAAATTAATTACTTGTAAACAGACTTGAAATTACATTTGTAATTTTGGTTCTTACTTGAACCCAGGTCTCTCCAGTCTCATATCTCCAAATAAAAACTACTATACTGTCTTGCTTGAACTTTTTAGTTCTATAGTTCCTCTTTCTTCCCATTAGGGAGGAGATGGAGTGCACAGTAGATTTTCTAAATTCATATGGAATGGAATGCGGCCATATTTAAAATTTTCCACTGGGGACTGTTTGACTCTCTTTGCTTTGTATTCACAGACTGATTTAATCTTTAGTCTTGATGTTCTCGTAATTTTGAAAGGAAGCCTGATCTTAGCTTTCAAGAGATAATTTATTGCCTTTTCCCTTAGGCATTGCAGAATGCATTTTGGCCCCACAATTACACGGTGAATTATGATTTGGCATGCAGTAGAAAGATTCACAAAAATTGCATTTATACTCTCCTATTTTCCATAATCATAAACTCCTTACAGGCAATTCATGATTCTCTGCACACATTCCAGTACTTTTAGTGAAAGTGGCCTTTTCAATTTTCCTACAATTTCAATATATGCTGCCTGGCTCCTTTTTCCTGTTGTTACATCTGTCTCTGTTCTGTAAAGGACACTATTGTCATCCCTGGGGGATTCACGGGCATAAGAAAGGGGAAATCTTCCTCTATATGTGTCTATGTGCCTTCTATTAAGAGTCATACTAACTCTTAGCTGGTTTCATACTTGAAAACACTTCCTATGCCAACATATAGGATCATTAGCATTCAGCTTTCAAAAAACATACAGTAAACATTAAATGATTAACCTATTTTTCTTTATTTCTCTTCAATGCTTCCATATCAAACTAGCGCTTCATCACTTGTGTACTAATTGTCCAAAGAGCACTCTGGGAACCTATCAACACATTTGGGAAATCTCCAATTTTGAAGACCGCTTTCGTCCTCTTCCCTAAAAGGCTCATTAATATTGATGCCTCATATGAAGTCTCCTTGTCCTGTGTTACATCGTTGGCATGGAAATGTCTACTGCTTGATCCCTGGTGCCAGAGGGGGATCAACAGAGGCTTCAAGTGCCGCTTCTCATTCCATACATTCTCAGTGCTGTGTGTTGCTTACTGCTGCCACAGCTGTCTAACTCATGCGTGTGGGTCCTTTGGTTGGAAACAGGAAGGGGGGCAGTGCCCGGCAAGGGGCTGTAGCATGAGATAATTTTGATCTGCGTTTGTGCTTTAAAACATGAACTTTTGTGTTATCAGCAAAGATATCTGTCTGGCAATTAAGGAACAAATAAAGGTTTATTCCATGCTGAAAAGAAAAGAAGCATTTCAGCTGTGGAGCCTTCTTTGGGTAGCGCTGAAGAACGCTCCACAGCTGAAATGTTCCTTTTTCAAATGTTTCAAAAAGAAACACTGTTTCTTTTTTTCTGTTTTCAGCATGGAATAAACCTTTATTTGTTCCTTTGCAGCCTATACATGCTGACGCAACTACTTACTTGTCTTACAGTTAGTTCAAAGTTGCATCACCAGGTCAAAATAAGCATAGAAAACTTATTTTCTGTCCCATAATGGATATATTAAACTTCACAGAGGTAGCTATAGTCACAATCAAGATGTAGAAATCAATGAATAAGCAATTTATTTAAATATAATAGTTTCACTTACCTGGTTACCAATCTAGCCAGCAGGGTGACGTACAAGGCATTGCATGTTGTGGCAGAGCGACAATGTCTTTCCAGTTTCTTCTCCTGTCCAAATCACCAAAAAACTGAACTGAGACTCCGATGTGAACCACCTCTTTAACCATCAATAATAAAATCTTCACTATTTCTCCAGAGCAAGTAAATGTACTGTATCTGTAATGGTACATTTGGTAACAAGAACTGCTATTTCTGCACCCATGAGAGAGTTCGCTACAACACGTTCCATAAATCATTTAATTACAAAAATCTTTAGACACTGCATTTGACAGGGTATGAAGATCATTTCAAACAACATCCACAGCTTTCAAAAAGTGACTGGTTCATAATCCACCTGATTACCGTGAAAACTATCAACATCCTGACTTCTCATTGACACTACAAATGCAATAATACTGGATGCCCATTCATCTTGTGAAAATACCTGGTCATTATAGCCTGCTAGTGTTGCTAACATAAGGTGATCATTATCCAATAGTCAAATCAAAAGAAGACAATGTGAGCACTTACTAACCTGTTCTTTGGTAAGTTTGATTTCAGCACTTTGACACTCTGTATAAATAACAGCCTTCACATCCCCAGCATTAAGAGGATCAAGATGGAGTGTTGGCCACAATCTGTGCAGGGAACAAAATAAGATTATACTAGCACATTTAGCAAATCTAGAATCTAAACGAATTGATGATTGCTTGCATAAAATACATTCAGACTACATTACACTTGATGATAAGCTAAAACGTCTTTAAACATTAAAGCCATGGGAAGAAAATGCCTCCAAATTAATATTGAAATCACCAGTAAGAACCAATTGTCACTTAGTATTCCACAATCTTTCAAGCACATAAGCAATAATTTTGGTTAACACAATTTAAAGTTAAAATTCAATTTCTACTTTGTGAATGAATTAATCTGGGGTGTAACGAGCCATAAAATCATTGAAGAGAATAGAAGAAAGTTACTTGAATTGTGATGAAAAAAATCATAATCCTATATTCCTTACAGTACATGGTGGACCACCCCTCTAAATTACAAATTTGTATTAGTTCATTCTGCTCTAGAACACACAGTAAGTCATGCTAAATAAACGTTTGTATGAATTTACCTGCTTAATCTATGCAAATGATAGGTAGAAATGTTTTTGCTTATACAAGTCACCCCCAATTCACAAATCCCCAGTTTACACATTTTTGCAGTAATACGTAGAGGAACACATGCTGAGGTTTCGTTTCTGGGAAGATGTGCACCACTTCTTATAATTTTTTCCCCACTGTTTAGACTTGATTACGCTGGGCTAAGTGTGCATGCACTGTCGGCATAGGGCATTTTACCATGTAGTGTCTGTGCATGATTCTATGGCAATTACATGTATGTTAAATTTTCAGATTTGAATCTAACAAACAGTTTCCAGCATACAGGTCAAGATCATAAATTGAGGGATGGCTGTGATGTGGTTGAGGGTGTTATGGAACCTACCTCCAAGCCTGTGGGCAGGTCTCCACATTGACAGAAACAATCACCCTCACATTGACAGGCAGTGGATCGATCAGCCACTTCATGTGCCTTTCAGCTTGCTGGAAATGAACAGCAAAGAATAAACCATTCTCATTGAGGATTAGAAACGTTCTGGCTCGGGCATACTCAGAGCATGCAGTACATAGAAGGAATTGGAATTTCAAGATTTGACAAAAATCATCACTAGCATTTAACCTGGGATAACTGATCATGTAATCTGAGACTATCTTTGTGTTGTTCACTCATACAGATTACTTCTCAAGACTTTCATATGTTTAGCCTGGTGCTCATGCTATTTCTGCTCCATGGTTGTAAAAAAACCATGACACTACAAAAATAAAGGCATACTAAATAATATATCATAAATATTGAATACAACTGACAGTGTCCCACATGTCTACTAGAACAATTGTTACTACAAACAAGATAGACACTACTACTTTGGGGCTACAAGCAAAGACTTGTTAGATTAACTGTTAGATTACATGTTCCTATCCATTGTCTACTTTCCCGCTGGTTATTTGTGATGCATGTAAAGCATTCTTTGTTAAATGTTTAAAGCTGTTCTGAAACACTTAATTTATAATTCAAGTGTAAAAAAAAGCCTTGTAAATAGAGTTGTTTTTGAGCAAGTTTATATAGTAGTAACGGAGGTTTTAATGCAGTTATTTTTGACAAATTCTTTCACAAACAAAAAAAAACAAATTAAAAATACTTTGCTCCTTATTTTTGCATTTACAAATTTGATGAAACAAAATATTGACAACCTTTTTAAATATATGTTTTAGCAGTTAAACCTGATACTACTTTTTATATAACTGTGGCATGTTTATTATTGTACATTAACTTAAAACGTTAAATGATTTACAATTAGATGAGTATGTACAGATAATACATAGGTGACCATCAATAGCATATATGCCTTCACTTGAAATAAAAAGAATTGTCTCAAACATAAAAGCATAATAAACAAAAGATATTAACATGAATGTTTGAACATTAAGGTGTACTTTTTATGTTTTAAGGTTGTAGCTGTTTGTGCATGTTAATAAACATAGGGCTGAGTATATCTTAGTAATAACTCACTACAAACTACATAAAGCCAATTAGAGATAAGGCACTGGATTACACTGTCAGTGGCACTATTAATTAGCAAACATGTAACTAGCAGACAATCGAGTGACATCCTGATATCCTCCTAGGGTCAGTGGCACTTTGATTGGAATCTCTAGGACAGTGCCCTCCAAAAGCATTGGGACAGAAACCTTGATTTCTGATTGGCGTTTCCCTGCTGTATACACAAGAAATTGAAAAATTTACATACTGTACAAGAACTTATTCTGAGTCAGTTCAGAAGTTCACCTTTTATTTAGGACGTATTCTGCAAACGCAATTAATCATTTTTCACCCAAAGCATATGTTGTGTTCTGTCCACCCAAATTTAGATGACCTTATGTATTGGGAGACTTAAAGCAAATCATAGAAGTGAAAAGGACAGTATTTTGTTCCAAATCCCTTGCTTGCAATACCTGCATCAAGCCTCCGTCCCATTAACATCACCAGACTTTGTTTCTGTATTTGAGATGGTTTGCCAGGCTTAACGCAGCCTCTTTAAGTTGTTGCTTATTGGTTGGGCTTTCTGCCTTCGGTCTCCTTTGTAACAAATGAAATGCATGCTCCAGTGGATTCAGATCTGGTGAATGACCAGTTTAAAATGTCCCACTTTTTTTGTCTGATGAACTCCTGTGTTAAGCGTGCAGTATGTTAAGGGTCACTGTCCAATGAATCTGGTGCCATGTGTTTTTTTACATTTGCAGAGAAGATCCGTTTTTATATCACTGAATTCATCCTACTGCTTCCACCTTCAGTTAAGTCATTAATAAAGACCATTGAGCCCGCTCTGGAAGCAGCCATACATGCCCACACCATGATACTTCCTCCACCATGCTTTACTGAAGAAGTGGTATGCTTAAGGTCATTGGCTGTTCTTCTTTTTCTTCACACTTTAGCCTTTCCTTCAGTTTGATACAGTAGATGTTTATTTTGCTCTCATCTATCCATACAACCTTGCTCCAGAACTCCTGTGGCTCATCTCTGTACTGTTTTTGCAAATTCCAATCAAGACCTTCTGCTCTTGGTGCTGATGAGGGGCTAGCAACTTGCAGTACAGCCTCTGAAGTTTTTCTTTTCGTGAAGTCTTCTGTAGATTGAGGTACTTGAGATTTGCACCCCCACACTCTGGAGATTATTTCTGATTTCACTAACAGTACTTTTCGGGTTTTTCTTTACACATAGAAATATATTTCTGTTATCCACTGCATTCGGTTTTGTTGGACACCCCATTCTCAGCTTATTCTCGACTCCTCCAGTTGTTGGCTTTTCTTCAAAACACTCCAATTTCTCTGATGGTCATTTACTTTCCTCTCGTTTTGTAAAATGGCCTACTTTCCCATCATAGTGAGTCCTCTGATCTTCAGAAGCAGTTTCAAAAGACTTCAACCAGGCCTAGATGTTCACAGCTTTTTTATGTGTGTGAAATGTATGCAACGTATAACCTGGGCAATTAGAAACACCTGTAAACTTGGTTGTCCAAATACTTATGCTCATCTAACAAAAAAGTGCAAAACAAAAAAAAGCACTTTTGTTGTATAATGGTAAAAAATACCCGTAGGCAAAACGGGATGTTCTGTGCTTTTGTCTCAAATCTCCTGAGCATACAGCTATAACGGGCTCTTGTCCCAGTACTTTTGGAGGGCACTGTATAAACAAATCTGCCTGGCTGTGCTCAAAAACATTCAAGCATAAGAAGTTCAATAAGTGAGTGACAAAACAGCTGTGGCTACCGAGAAGATCAAATTGAAATAATATTTAATTCAGCCATAAAGTTCTTCGATTTTTAAAAATATAAAAGAAATTTTTGTATTTTCGTCCACATTTTATAAAGACATGATAAAAGTAGATAAACATACACAGTATTAGTTGAAATACAGCTAAATCGTTCACTGCATACCTGTATCCGATCAATGGAATCTATAATGATGATGATGTTGCCTTGATGGCGCGCAGACAGTTTCTCAAGCCAACGGGGAAACTCTTCCAATATCTTGCAAGGGTCCATTGGCAAGCCCGAAATTGACCAAAAGTGCTGGAGGAGCTGTAACAAGAAGAAATATAACTGTACATTTACTGTTTCTAAATTTGCCTCAATAAACATAGCCCTCTCGCATCTCCAAACAGGAGTGCACCCTTACCAGTTTGACACCACAAAACCCCAGAAGTGAAACGAAAGATAACTGGAAGTACAGTAAAATAAGGACATGACAGCAGTAGCACTCACCATCACCTGTAAAATATTAGGCACTCACCCCAGAGATCCTGGACTTGCACCTAGACATTTCTTAAGTCAGACAAAAATATATTTTCCCATTTGAATAAGAGGAAAATATTGCTCAGAATCACAATGTATTTTAAAACTTACTGTATTTTTGAAAATGTCTTTATATTGTGATGCCACTAGGAGTGTGGTAGCAGATGGGTATTACTTTCATAGGTGTGTCATAAATTTGTGCAAGGTTTTTGACATAAGATGGTGGGGTGATGCCATTTCTGAAACAGGGCACAGTTTGCATCTTGTTCCAGAGAGTATAAATCAGCTGCAGAGATGCGAAGAAGAGAGAGACGAGAAGAATGCACTATGAGTTGAAACAGAAGATTAAAGAACTGCTATGTCGACTTGTGAGTAGATCTGTTTTTGCACTTTGACAAACCCGATGAATGAAGTTACAGAAGAGTGTCGTTTGGACGCTCTGTCATCAGCTCATTGTCTGTTCTCACCTACTTTGTCCTTCCTTCTCCTTTTTCTATGCCTGCAGCTTTTCTCTTTAATGAAGAGGTTTCAAAAGCCAGAAATTGTGTTAATTCTTCCTACTTTAACCACACTGTTAAAATTTAGAGTATTACATGCAGGTATCCAAAAAAACTATAAACACAAAATGGGAAACACAGAGCTTAATGAGGCTACTCATGAAAAAGACTTTGGTATTTATTTTGACACATCATTTGTTATTTCCCTGTTTTACATCAGGCAAGCAATGTAATGACTTATATGATATACTGTAGTGTTATGATGGTAGTTCAAACAAGAAATGCTAAAAATGTACAGTACACTGGACTAAAAAGACTACTTTTAAATATTCTGAATACACTTTTGGTTGCAAAGAAGTTAGTTCTACTCCGAAGTCAGTCCAGAGATGGCAAAATAAATACATGGCCAGCTTAAAAGAATGTACGGCACTAATATATACAGATAACCACACCTTTTTAGTCATGATCAGAGAAGAACATAAAAGGGATTGGATGCAAAAATTCATCATCCTTACTGATAATGACAAATTCAACCCAGTGGACGTCTTCAAATTCAACAGAAAAACACAAGTCAGAGGACAGAATTGTAAACTACATTAAAACTGAGAACAGGAGGCACTTCTTTACACTAAGGGTTGTGGAGGTCTGGAAAATGTGGAAGCTATGTGAAAGCTAGCATCCTGGCTCCTTTTAAGAAACAGCTAGATGAAATTGTTAAACCAATTGCTTACTAAACACCAAATGGGCTATGTGGGCCAACTGGCTTCTTTTCATTGGTAACTTCTAATATACAGTAATATTAAATCTGGTTTAGCAATATAAAGGATCTTTAAAACTACAGATATAAATGAACAGGTAAAGGTTTATTCCATGCTGAAGGGAGAAGAAAAGATGACACCTGAAGAAGTTTCCACAGCCGAAAAGCTGGGTCTCTTCTTATTTTCTTTCAGCAGGGAATAAAACTTTACCCGTTCCTTTGCAGCCTACACATGCTGACGCAGCTACCTGCTTGAACTTCTATAGTTCTAAATGCCGGGTGCAATTTATCTTATTTTGTTCCCTTAGCCGTCATTTGAAAAAAAATAATGTTCAAAACCAAGAAATACTTTTATTCACTAATGGAAATCTTTCAGGATCATGAATAAAAGCCAACTTCAGTTGATTACACGATTACATTACATTTACATGATTCAGCTCCTACCTTTACAGTCAGCCGTTTAATCAGCAACACAGGCTCTGAACTGGTAGATGAAGGCATACCGACAAAATGGTACAGTATCAAGGTGTTTGGTGAGTGCTTCTGTTGAAGCTCAATCCTTCAATAAAGAGAAACATTGTTTAACAGAGTAATGTTCCGTGCTAGTTTCAAAGAGCTGCTTGCTATATATAAGGTTTACATGCCTTATGAATAAAAAAATTGAAACATCATTCATACATAAGAAGCAGACACAAATAACATGCATGGTAAAAAATAAATCTCACCATTTGGATAAGAGAAGAGATTTGCCTGATCCAGGTCCCCCAGATACCAGAAGAGGTGGGATGGGTGGAGGGGCAGCGACCATGTCATTCAGTCGCTCAATGTACTAGGAGAGACCACAATGTAAGAAATGCAAATTGTTTAAATGCACAGGGAACACTAAAAATTGTCCCAGAAAAAAAGAAAGAAAAATTTAACAACATCATACCAGTTCCAGTTCTCAATACCTCACACACATTTCCTAAATGTCTTTAAAGCATAATAGCTCAAGGCCCGTACAGAATGGTACAGTAATATTGGTCCTATATTGACTTAATTAGGATCACAGAATAGCAGCTCTTTTTGAATTTTCATATAAGAGGATCTGTCTATTGTGGCTACAGACATCTGGTCCTCAAGAAAGAATATACTCAATGCCATTTGCTTCACATTTTGGAGTATAGCTTTGATTGCTTTTGAATTCATGAATATCCAAATGCATCTCAGTTGCACCAATGAAATCAAAATAAGCATATAGTTTCATTTCTAAACCAATTAACTTACAATCTCCAGTAATGGCTTTCAAGTATATCTTATTCTGACACAATGCCCTCTTGTCCTTGAATATTATGCTAATATTTATCATGTTTAATATGTTTTTCCATTTCATGAACTGTTTTGTTAAATAGTTATTCTACACAACTTTCATCAAGCAGTAAAAGAATGAACCTTTAGGAAAATTATGATGCAGTCACCCACAGAAAAATTCATTAAGCACTGGACTGTGAAATTCTGAAATACTGTCAAAGGAACGTGAAATAAAATGGGCCATCTGATATGTACAGTAAAAGTTTTTATTATTTTTTTTGAAGGTAATCTTAAAGACATTAACTGGTAATTGTGAAAGCAGGCTTTAGTACTGCAAATAATTCACTGAGCAAAAAGTATATTTCTATACATTCACACACCAAACAAATGAAGCATGATGCATAGGAATACAAGGAGTACCCATACTTAACAAAACATTGAAATAAAAGGTAAGACACATGAAATAATCGAATCATATTATTTTAAACCAGTTGTGACTGGTCGAAACTTGGTAGGTACAGGGGAGACAGCCATAAAGCTAAGGAAAAGATTCTGTTTTTGGTTTGTGCTCTATTTTCCCTGCATTATATAAATAAAAGAGCAACTGTTTATGCTGTACAGCTACATTTTGTGTCCGTTTTCCCGAGACCTGCCTATTTTAAAAATCCCATTAGGGACACTACAACTCCAGGATGTCATGAGCTAGAAAACACCAGCTGGACTCCGGGCCAAAGGTTCGGAGTCAGGAACACCTGCTAATAGTTCAATATTCTCCCCTATATAGTCTCTCTATAACTCTACAATGGTTAGAGACAGTCTCACTGATTCCTGGTTGTATGATTATTGATGAGCCCCAGGATAGGCTCATCAACTGCGCACTGCAAACACAACATTTCAACAACACTCTCCCTCTGGTCAAACAATTGCCCAGCACAATTGCCCCAGGAACATAACATCTCAGCCCTCCTTAGATGAGCACAGCGCAGATCCTAACTCACCCACAACAGTTAATTGAGACTGCACAATATGCCTTTAATTAACAAAAAACAAAAACCGATTTTGTTATTTATGTTTTAAGTGAAGTTACAAACGCCCATGAATTAGACAGAAATACCTTCTGAAAGCCCAGCTGGCAGGTGGACCTGGAGGCTTGCTGAAAGGCTTCAGTTTGCTCCTGCTCGTCGTGCATGTCCCACAGGACGTCTCCAAAATCCTCCTCATGGTCTTCCCTGTTTTCCGAATCAACACTTTCATATCCCAATAACTCCTGAGCAGAATGTAAAGATAAGTATAAGAATGTTACTGTATATACAACAGGTAGAGCTACAACATGACATGGGAACACAAACTCTGGAACAGGCATCAGCTCGTGAACCCAGTGAGTGGTCATGGGAGGATAAGAGTAATTCCATAAAAATATAATTCGAAGGAAACTACTGACAAATTTCAACTGTGACGATGGCACAATGTAGACTTTGTTCTGAACTCCAATCTGTGTTGTTTTAATGGATGATAGGATGTTTTGGAAGACAATATCTAACAGCCCTTCTACCAACTGAGGTTGGTACTGAGATACATTCTCACATCTTGTTGAAATATGTTCTTAGTTCTTCTAGTTCTTACATATGGGATATAAAGGAGAATAATCTATTTCTGAAAAGAGAATTAGGGTTTGTATTGTGTGAATACTGTACATAACATGTGTCCACACATCACATATTTGTCACATTTCTCAGCAGTACTAGGCAGTTTTCTTCTTTTAGTGTTTCTGTGTTTTCTGTAATGACCCACAGCTTCTGGTTTTTGATCCAAAAGAACCTTTCACTGCAAAGACTTAACCCCTTAATTGAACTGTTTGATCTTTTTAATGCTGCAGGTTTTAAAATGTAAGTGTGGGATATCGGGGGTTTCCAGGTGGTTCACCCAGTAAAGGTACTTGTGGACCTAATATTAATACATTGAGTTGGGGGCAAGGTCACAAGTCAGCTGAGCCCACGAGTCCCCAAGCAGTGGCAGACAATTGACCAAGTGCCACAGGTTTAGTGATGGGATTAGTCGCCTGGAGCTCCTTCTGCTTTTCAACGAAAGTGACTCCTATGACTTTTCAGGCACTTGCCAGCTTGCAGTGACACCAGTGACTGCCAGCCTGCTGCTGCCACTGCTTCAGCTCACAGCAATTCTTGTCTAAGGCACTGTGGAGCTTGGAACTTGTCACATTACAAATGACTCTTGAACATGTTGGTGGAGCGTATTTATGCGTCGCATTCTCTCTGCAATGGCATAGAAGCTGCAGCTGTAAACCTGACCCATGACACAACTGGCAATTCCAAATTATATGGGTATAAAAATATTGACGATTCCAAATTTGGAAGTTGAAGACGCACAGAAAATTACTTTATATTTTTTGTTAAATATCTTGGCAATTAAGCATATTATAAAATATATAAATCTCTTCTGAATGGGTCAGCATGATCTACAATGAAACACGAGAACATCAATTTGCTGGACAGAAGAAAAGCTTACAACATCTTTACTAGAGTCCATGAAATTATAACCATTTAAAATGTGATCTTAAATTAAAATTAAAAATTTAGTCAAGCATTTGGTTTGAGTCACTATTTTAAAACAAATGCCCAAACATCTCCCTGTAATTAAAAATGTATTTAGGTGCATTTATAAATCAGGGGTTTACAACCCTAATTCTGGAATAATCCCTATCCAACAGAGGTCTTATACTGTCGATAACCATTAAATCACCCATTTCTAAGACTTAGATTCATTTAGCTGTGACAGGTAAACAAGTGATTTGTTAAATTAAGCAATTTAATTTGTCCATTCTCTCACTACTTTTTTTAATAAATGGTCACAGCCGGACCCAGTCCAACACAGAAAACACACAGACACACAGGTTAGCAGACTGTGGGAAGACACCCACACGAACACAAAGCACACACCAGATAGCACCCCAGGTCAGAACTGAACCCAGGGTTCCAGCAGTGTGAGGCAGCAATACTAACCACTGCACTACTGTGCTGCCCTAACTTAGAAATCATTTGGTGCAAAAATATATGAACACCCTTCAAATCTTCAAGTACTAGAATTCACTAAATGAATCAAACCGCTGTCTTAATTTATCAATAATTTATAAATGTGTACCTTCTTTAGAATTGGGTGAATTACTGCAACCTATACAAATTGATGGATTAGGCTCTTCAAAACCAGGGTTGAAATCTCCTATTTTAAGTTAATGAATTCTACCCAATTTTATCCTTTGTCTGCTTCATGTAATATTTATGACTTTCATGTTGATGAAAGAAGAGAATCAACAGCACTCCATGGACTTCACCCCACATTTATTCCCAGTTCTCCTCTGAAAGACTGACAAATAATTTCACTTTCAGTAGAGGAGCATGTTGCCACTACCTGGTGATATGATTTCCCTTGTGACCGAAGCAGACATGAGCCTCATAGCCAATGGAAAAAGACCTGTAAATCTGGCAATCAATTTCTTGTCTCTTAAAAAAGAAACTGCACTTAAAATGACAATAGCTGCTACGTTTTCACCTGTTATACCTGTTTAATGAGTTTTTCCAGGACAGTATAAACTTCATAGGCCCCTTCTTCTGTGTCACCACTGTGATTAATAACCTGAAATGAAAGCACAGATATCATACACTTACTTTTAAATGGACGTAGTCTTTGCTACTTGGAAACTTTCTAAATCTCCTTTCACTTTTCTAAACATTTATGTTGACCTTATGCATTTTCAACTGTCATTGATGCAGTAATGTCTTTTCGCAACCAACCAATCAGAATTACATATTGTGCAACTGTATATACTGTAACATTTTAAAAGAAATCTTACCAGGGCCTTGTATAAACTTAATATTACCACAAATTTCTATGGACTTAAATTAAATACTTTTCAATAAATGCCTTAAATGTGTTGATCTTTTGTAACATTACCACATTAATGACAGGAGCACAATGTCATGTCAATATAAACTCGTAAAACCCATTCAAAGATTACTCTTTATTTGATAGGGAATGCTTATAAAGAATATTCTTAGTACCTATGTGGCTACTTTTTACTTTTCTAAAATTACCTATTTCATTTTCTAATTTTATTGTACAGTGTCAGCCCAGTCTTTCTATATTTTCTTGTTTCTTCTGCAATATTCATTCTAGACTCTCTGTACCTCTTCTTGCATCATCTGTAAAACTGAGAAGTTTACTGACTTTGGAACTGAGGAAGAACAATGAGGTAGATTTCTGTTGTACCTTATTACGGACATCAATCAATTTAAACGTTTCAGCACATCATTCTCCTCTGTTATCCATATCAATATTTTTTTAATCACATCAGTATTTTTATACTTATATTTATTGGTATATAACCTAACTTCAAAATACTGTTCAGAATTTTTAATTTGCATGAAATGCCTAGAGACTAAGGGCAGGGATGTCAAGGTTTACAGGCTTTTGGAAAGGTGTTCCTAACCTTCACTTTGTCAGTGTTGCCTGCTGCAGTGATTTTTTCCATGAATTCTCCCACTGGTCCTGAAAGAGGCTGGTTTTCTACATTTCTGAGGTAAACAAGCAGAGGCCGCATTTCGGTGTTCTTCAGAAAGGCTTCCTCGGTGTCTTCAATCAAAGTGCTGAAAAGAAGGGGAATTTAGGTTTTCCGTAAGAAAACACCTTGCATGTTTGTAGCTAATGTTTAAACAAGGAGAAAATAAAGCCATTTTCTGATGTGATAAAAATAAAAAATAATCTATTATACAGGAGCTCTGGTATGGATCTGCCAGCAAATGTGCTCGTTTCCAAAGCTTTTTTGACTGTACAGTCCAGACAGCAGCTCTATTTATATTAATTTTTGTCAGAGTTTATTTTATTCAATTTCTATTGCACTACTATCTATTATGTAACCTGATTTTGGAACCTTAATTTTGTTAATTTTATCCCCCACACCCACCCCCCGGCGAACTCGTAGAAAAGACATTTCATTGCCAGCAACTATTGCTATTGTAGTATTGTTGTGCATTAGATAAAAACTTTGATTGAGATATTGATGGTTTAATTGTAATGATTTACACTGAGACTCATTTCAATTTTTTCCTGCCTTTCCTGGCAACAAAACAAACAAACTGCATGAAAAAGGAAGAGTTACTAAAAATGTATATGCAGCCTCCTGACAGCTAAGTAGAAAATACTTACTTTGTCACAGAGGATTTCAGGAACACTACACACAGGGAGCTTTTCTCTATCTCTTCCCTTCGCTCTGCAGTGTAACGAGTGGCACTGTCTTCAGGAAAACTGACGTTCAGGTAGAAGTGACCCCGTCCTTCACACAGCGTCTGCAGTCTGCAATAGTAATTCTGATAAAATGGCATGTGTGTGTCAGTTTATTAAAATCACTCTGTTTCAACACTGAGAGTAGCAGTCAGTCATGGCAAAGTATAGTACTATAAAACACATACAGTACACTTATGTGATTCTTCAATATCTATTTTATGATCTGTTCCATCATTTCTGCAATGATGATCTGCAATGTTATCTGAATAACACTCCAATTGTTTTTTTGTATTTTACATTCACGGTTACTGATCAAATAGCACAAGAACAGACCACACCAACTGAGTAAAGTTCAGATCCTGCATACAGTATGCACATAATACATTTGTGATTCTGACTCAAGATGGTAGTTCTCTAATGGAAACCCATTTTATCAGGGGTATGCATAAATTTGGAGGGCACTATATAAATACAGCACTAAGGTAAACAGAAGGAAATGGCAATGTTTAACTTTAATATGATCCTCTGTGCCAGACCAAAAGCAAAAAAAAAACATGAGCTTCCATGGTTATGAGCTAATATGTAAAACACAAACCCACAAGCCCAGGATAACGCACGTCAGCAGACATAAGCCTTTTAAAGACGGGTTTTGAAGAAGCAGACTAAGATCTAAATTAACCAGTTCATTTTGTTTTTTATTAAACGAATTTTAAAATGAAGCAATTCAGCCTATTAAAAAAGAATTGCATAAGTAACTGAAGCGTGTAAATAAATAGCTGAACATGAAGAGGGGGTTCAGCCTAACTGTATTTATTCAGCTAGGAAATGTGACTGGAAGGCTTCACCAGTAGTCTTGCTGAATTATGTAAACTAAAGTGGATCTTTTGCATTCAACAACTTAGTAAAGCTTAGGGTACCAAATAAGGCCAGATATTTGAAATCTCTCCTCAACTACTGAGTATTGCATTTTACGAGACAGTGTTCTTAACTAAATTAAATCTATAACCAGAACCAGCAATCAGACCAGAAGCACTACCAAGAGTTTTACTCCAGTTTATCAGTTCGTTACCATGACAACGTGCTATGGCTGACAATCAGAGCCACCTGTTCGACTTAAATTTCCTCTACTATTTAAGACTCATCTCTGCTCTCTCCAGCGCTTAGTCTTAGTATTTGGGTACTAGTCTTAGTATTCCCAAGTTACTTACACTTCCGTGTCTCGACTGTGTTTGCTTTGTTCCCTGAACTCTTTTTTTCCTGTCTTTGACCCTGGTTTGCTTTTTCAGCTTCAGTTCTGAGTTTCCCTTTGGCACTCTACTCCCGCATCTTCCTGGATTTGAGCCCAGCCAGTTCCTGATTTTGACACTGGTTTGTGTTTCTGTCTGCCTCCATGCCTTCAACAGTCTGCTTACACCTGCACTTGAATGCAGTCTTCAGCCCCAGACCACTTCTCCTTAACAGTGAGTACAGCTGCATTACCTGTACAAGTCCAGTACAGAAGACTGTCATCTGTACATATCTCAAATTTTGTGTACCTCACCAGAATATCAGAATTTGTGGTCATTTTCCTAATTACCTTAGTAAACAGATATACACAATGAGGCTAGATATGTGGAGACACCAATGTCCCAGATCTAGAATATATCATTTTAACTACAGTTGAGCCCAGATTAAATTTCAATTAAAGAGCACAAAGAAACATTCACTCCATCTTTTTTTTTTACGTAAAACAAGCAAGGCAAGAAGACTGCAGTTATTGTAAGTCTATAAGAGTCAATAACTGACTTTTATTGATTTTACTCAGTAATTGTATAATTTTATTTTATTCATTAATTATGTTTTCAATTAATGAAAACAGATGGAAGCAGCATTCATGTCTCAAAAATAATACCCTCATACCTCAACCTTTGGACAACAGGCATAAATAAAGACACTGGTTCAAGCAAGAATTGCTTTTACTAATCCACTGGGTATCCTTCCAGACCAGGGGATTTATTAGACAGTAGTGATTTAATCACCACATAAACTTGTGGGATATACAACAACTACCTGATGTAACTACATCAGAAAAGATCTAACCCGATTTTTCTGCGAGACCTGTGATAAAAGTTGTTGTTTTTTTTTTTTTTAATGTGTACAGTCTGTGTAAAAATACTACCTTGAGAAAGGCATCCATATCAGCTTGAGTTTCGGGGGTATGAATAAGGTAACAACGCACAGTGTTACTCCAGAGAGACTGGGAAACACAAGGAGACACTTGCAGCAGACTGGCCACAGCCACATCCCAGTCATCTGAAACACACAAGTAAAACAAGGCATTGATAAAATGGTGAAGCGCAACTACAGACTGCAGGGCAGCACCGGTGACGTAAAGGAGGATTGTGTGAATTGAATGTGTACTAGAGCATAAAACAGAAAATAAATGTTCTGTGACTACTTCAAATTAACAATGATAAATGATTAAAAATAAAATTTAACATTCATATAAGGGTGTGCATATCTTACCTCTGTTTACATTAGCGAAAGGGCCTTCTACATCAATTAGGCTGTGGGCAAACTCAGGGCCTCTGAACGTCTGCAGTTGCATCATACTACCCATAGAGGGCTCACTCCCCAGCACGCCCCCACTCCAGTACTCGCACTGAGTTCCTGCAGCTAAAGGACATATGCAAAACAACTGATGATGTGACAACTCCAATGTACTGGGAGGTATGCCATTTGTGCGTGATATATTAACAGAACAAGAGTCAGCACAGAATGTCTGAAGCCTCTCTTCAGCACAATGGGTATTAATTAGAATAATCTCACTAGAGACATCTTTACTGGTGTTACTGTATATCTCATTTTACTTCCCCATTATTCAACTTCCTGTCATCTCCCTCCTCACTATAAAAACAATACCCCTTAACAATAATACAGCCTGATGTAAGCTATTAGTAACTCACTTTCCTGAACACTACTGTAGTTAAAAGGATATAGTGATAGAGACATAATACATCACATTAGATATTTAAAAACTCAATAATAAAAAAGTCTATACTCATATGATCTTAAAATCTAATTATTATATTAATATTTTATTATCAATGTAATTCTTACATGCTTAAACCTAATGTTAGCAGTATAAGAGACAAATTAAATGAGCTTGAAGCTACCACAAAGTAATTATGATGTTACTGGAATCACAGAATCATGGTTAACCGAAAGCAAGGGAGAGTGTAACATTAGTGGATAAAATATCGTCACAATTTGAGGAATGCAGACTTGGAAGGAATTGAAACAGAGCCTTAAGAAAAGTAAAATGGTCTATCATAGACATGGAATAAGTGGAGAATGAGCGGCAACGAGTGTAAATAGTTTCTGCTTGATGCACATAAAATACAAAAATCACACAGTTGATTGCACTGTTAAAGCCGCAAATGAAACAAAAAAAATTGCAAGTAGTAAAAACAAATTATCAACAGAAAGTAGGAAGTACAATGATAGAAGAGTCTACTTACAAGTTCATGTTGACAAATAATTTACATCTTCTACACCAGGGGTGTCAAATATGCCATAGAGTGCCAGGCCTGATTTAAACATGCTTCAGACCAGCCATACAAACCATAAATTGTTGAAATACTAGGCACAACCATTACTTGTGAAACAGACACCACAAGAGACAAATAGAAAGACACTTAAAACTGAGAACAGGAGGTACTATTGTACACAAAACATTGGGAGTACAGAGCCAACTACCTTGAAGCTTCCCTCAAGAAATAGCTGGATGAGATCCCTAGATCAATTAACTACTAACTAACAAACAGGCCAGCCTTTCTTAAATTCTTAACTTCACTTCTAGAGAGGTAGTTCAGTAATAATTAGGTATTCCTCTGTCTCCGTATGGAGGGCTTATAAGAGGGCTAAGTCTGAAATGCTTTAATTGAAAGTGGTATTTAAACAATGTACAAAACATTTTTTAAATATGGCTCACAAAATGTGCAGAGAAGCACAGCTTGAAGTTTTATAACAATAAAATCTAAAAAATGTTACAAATGTCCAAGACCTGCACAAGCCCGTCATCTGCGGGCGACTTCTCTTACCAGTGACGTCTGTGCGGTTGTCATCTGAGTCAGAGTCGTCCGCATCATCATACACCTGGATCCCCTGGGCCTGCAGACGCTGCAGTTTGGCCTCCAGGTCCCTCTTGGCCCTGAGCAGGTCCTGAATTTCCTTTTCCTTTGTCTCCCGGAAGATCTCAAGACAGAACAACAAATGACTGTCAGCACTAAGGAATACAGTTTGAAATGTGGAAGGGTGGACAGTGACTGTGAATTTTATCAGCAAAAACATACTCGAATAAACTGAAACATCAAAGGAACATAATAAAAATAATAAATAATATTTTACGTGAGGTTAAAGTGCAAGAGTGTACCCCATCTTGCTTGCCTGGATAGGCTTGGGCTCCCCCACGACCCTGAATTGCAAGATGCAGTTAGAAAATGAATGGATGAATAAAGGTGCTTTAATTACTGCTGAGACCATAATGTTCACTGTGTTTAAAGTATTTAGTTAGATAACTGAATTCCCAACACCATTTTTTGAAGAATCTGATGATCGCTTCTATTTATGTGGAAGTATGTTTTTCTGTTAAGGATTTTCTTTTGTCTACACCAGAATCAATGGAATTACCTACAATATAAGCAGACTTCTCTAAGAAGGGGAACAGAAATACATGCCGTGAAAGTAAAAGTCATAGTGTACTGTGAAATTTAAAAACGTCTGAGCACAAGAATGTCGAAAAAAGCAACATGACGTTTCCACCGTACCAGGAAGTATCAATAGTCTTTGACCTCTTGGCAGACATTTACATATTTATCCTTCAAAACTGCAAACCAGAACACAATCATTTCCAAAACTGACAAACATATTGTGAGACCAAATATAAGTGCAATTATTTACATACAATAATTCCTTTGGATAGTCCTTAGACATTCGGCCCTGGTTTGTACATTTAAAAATATTAAGGAAATAAAAGAGGTCTTCATTCCAACATTACTGCAGATAAAAAAATCATAATTACTATTTAGGAATTAAATATACAATAAGTAGTTCAGAAATATTTATTTTTTTCTTCACCGAGACAATTGCTTTCCTATTTTACTCATCATTGGTCTATGAATTTTCTTTTAGGCAAGAGCCTTAAGATAGCACCTAAAATAGATTTTAGGAAAATGAAAGGTTTGGCTGATAGCTTTTTCCTTTGACGAAAATATATGCTTATTCAAAAATATGCATGGTTTTGCTGAGATGACCATTACAACACAGCATATCAAATGCCACACAAATAAATCAAAGGCTCCCCTCACTTTAAACTGGCGCTTGACTTTGTCTCTGTCGTGTTCAAAGGTAGCAGCTCTTTCCATTGCCTGATACTTGGCCTCCAGGGCACTTTCTTTCTCTCTCAGCATCTTCTGGTAGGTCTTCTGTAGGGCCTATCAAGGAGAAAACACTCTGTTGTTACACATATTCGTTCAAACGTACTTCACAAGAGTTGCCAAGAAAGTAACGCCTAACCCTTATTTTGCCGTGAAAATGGATTTAAAGACTAATTGTTTTCAGAGTTTTAGACCTCAGAAACAAGAAGTAGACACATTAAATCTTTCAACATCATTCTTTTTGTGTAAGAACATATGAGGGGCAAAACCTTCTGGCTGACCCTCACATATTCAAACAAATGGTGCACGTGCCTTGCCTTACCTCTCAGAGAGAAATGGCTGAAATATCTTAAGACTAGAGGGGAAATAAACACGAGAATACAGAAACTCACTCTAATGGTGTTAAATCACTTTCATAAACACTCCAGTGTGGAATCTAAAATAATGAAAGATGAAGTGGGAGATAGTGGGAGACCACAAGGAAAAAACATTGCCACTATAAGCGGTCAAGGGGATCAGAGGTTGCAAATCTTCCTCATTTTTTTTAAATCTACACCCCATCTTGATGACAAAGAACACCCTTTGGACGAGATGTTAAAAAGAAGGCCCTGACTACTTGGTAATTGAAAGGTCCCTAGACATTGTCCATAAAGTGTCCTGGCTAACATCCACTTTGTGCCTATACAATCTGAACCATTAATCCAGCTTGAGAAGTAAATTCTCACTTCTCCATCTGATCCGCTCTGTAGTGGGTTTGCTCACGCATTTTGGCTGCCAAACAGGATTCAGCTGCCACAATTCAGATGTGGATGAGGTAGGTCCTGGGCAGCAGAGTAGTGCTGTTGCTAGCTTCGCTGCCTCTAGCACAGGGGCTGTGGGCTCTGTTCCTGGGTTGCTACCTGTGTGGAGTTTGTATGTTCTCTCCATGGTGGCATGGGTTTCCACTGGGTGCTCTGGTTTCCTCCCACAATGTAAAGACATACCGGTCGGTTAATTGGCTTCTAGGAAGATTGTCTTTGGTGTGTGCGTGTGTTTGTGTCTGTGTGTGTCCTGCACCTGACTGGTGTCCCTTCCAGGACGTATCCTGCCTTGCACCTGTAGCTTGACAGTATAGGCTCTGGTGCCCCTACAGCCCACTATTGGACAAAGTGGTTACAAAATAGATGGATAAAGTCAGTCCCCTCCTGTCTGTGTAGAATTTGGGGATCCATAAGAACAAAAAATTCTATAAAAGTGCAAGCAATTATTATTAATTGATAACGATGATTATGTTGGAACACGATAGTTTGTAAAATAAAGAATACTTTTGTACCCTGTGGCCTAACTGAGCTCTTGCTGCTTTAAGTTAATGTGAATCACTAATACTACCAACTGACAGATTTAGGAAAAAGGAGCAATTCTGCATTCTGTACAAGTTCTCAGCTACAGTTGGACACATGCTAAAGACAGATTATATTCTTTAACAGTATTATTTATCTAGAATGGAACATAAGAGAAGGGAGAATGGAATTACAGGACCGCCAGTGCCAGTGTTCCCAGCCTCTGATGACACGGCCATGTCTGTCACGGAGACCAAAGTCAGATCAACTTTCAGTCGGGTGAACATACAGAAGGCGACCAGCCCGGACGGCGTTACTGGACGGGTCCTTAAGTCCTGTGCAGACCAGTTGGCCACGTTTTTTTAAGAAAAGTTTTAAGAAAACTACCATTATACCAGTGCCAAAGAAAAATACTGCAACCTGTTTTAATGATTACAGACCGGTAGTGCTCCATCCACCGTAATGAAATGGTTTGAAAGGCTGGTCATGAGGCACATTAAGACAGTGGCACCTGAGTGCTTAGAACCCCTGCAGTTTGCATACTGGTGTAACAGGTCCACTGACGACACTATTTTCCTAGCTCTTCACACTTTCACGGCTCATTTGGATGATAAAGACGTCAGAACGCTATTCATTGATTACAGTTCCACATTTAACACTCTAGTTCCATCCAGACCAGTCAGGAACCAATTCCATCTACAAATACGCTGATGACACTACCATCATTGGCCAAATTGCCAGTAATGATGAGACAGACGACAGCCTACAGGGATGAGGTCAGGAGCCTGGTGGAGTAGTGCCTTGACAATTCTCTCTCCCTCAACGTCAGCAAAACCAAACAGCTGGTCGTTGATTTTAGAAAGCAGGGTGGGGACCACACCCCTGTATACATCAATGGAGTGGGTGTAGAGATTGTTAGCAGCTTCAAGTTCCTGGGTACCTTCATTACTAATGATTTAACGTGGTCACAGCATGTAACTGGAGCTACAAAGAAGGCACAACAGCACCTTTACTTCCTCAGACAGCTGAATCAATTGGTCTATCTTCAACTGTCCTATCCACATTTTACAGGTGCACTACTGAGAATGTGCTCATGTGTGGTATTACAGTGTGGTTTGGCAGCAGCTTGTTGGACAACAATCATCCTGGTTTCTCACTTTTCTTTTCTTCCCCCTTCCCTTTGGTAAGTGTTATAGGAGTGTTATTCAGAGACAGTTTTCTTCCCACAAACTTCCCACATTACTGAACTCTACCCCTACCACTGGCTCACACTGATGTTTTTTTTTTCCCTCACACTGTTTGTCTGACATTTTTTTAAGATGTATATTATTTAACTTGTTGTTGTTGCTGTTGCTGTTCTGGGTTTGTTTTAGGTGATTCCTTTAATTTCTCTGTATTGGAGCATACATGCAAATAAGCATTTCATTGCACTTGTGCATATGACAGAAATAACTGAATAATTCACAAACTAAAATAACCATTAAAAAGCAGACTGGACTAACGAACACATATACATTATGAACCTAATCAGTAAATTTAATTGTTGTAATTTTAGCGAGGACCAGAAGTGAGGTTTAATAATATGTTGTTGACTTCTATTTTAAGTACACCATACTACAAGTATGAGCGTGCATGTATACCTGTGTCTGTGAGTACCACATTTGAGAATATGTCGTGACAAGGTCAGAAATTTCTGACAAAGAGGCAAATTGATTTTTACATAAACCAAATGGCATTGTCTCTAAAATGTGAATATATTTTAGAATATGAAATATGAATATTTTTTCTCTAAAAACTGAGTAAAATACTGGATTTAGGTCTACTTTAACCCCATGTTGGGAATTTCATTTGAGCAGAGCAATAAAAACAGAATGAGAATCAATGGGAGGTCCTGTAAAGTATAGAAATCCAAAGGTATGCCAACATTTTCCTTTTATCTTCCAGTTAAGAACAGAAGGAAGGCTACAGACGAAAGGAGGCCATTAGGCCCAAAAGGAGTTTGGCAGTTAGTAGCTAACTGACCCAGCCGTTTCTTGAAAGAAATCAGGGTATGGGCTTCGACGGCATGGCTGAGTAACTCGTTTTATACTCTCCCAGCCCTTTGGGTAGAGAAGAGCCTTCTGTTCTCAGTTTCGAATGCATTAATGCACTGCAGCATCCCTTTGGCAATATACACAGCGGAGACAAAAAAGCCCAGAACGCAAAGTGAATTAAGAGGAATAAAAAACTAACAATGGCTAGATTGATAAAAGCTAATAAACGACATTTCTGCTTCAGTAGCTGGAAGTATTTCCCCAAATTAAAACAGATCTCTAAAACCACATCCAGGCCAATGAGTCCCAGTACCTGTAATTCTGCTCGCAGGCGCTTGTTCTCTTTGTCAAGCTTGGCCTCCTTCTTCTGCATGGAGCTGATCTCGTTGTTCTTGCTGACCCGGAAGATCTCGTACTCCTTCTTGAGCCTCTCGTACTCGGCGGCGAACTCCAGGTCCACCGAGGCCGTGGACTTGAAGCTGGCCCCGATGACCCGCGGAGCCCGGCGGAAGGAGCTGCGCAGGAGCCGGGCTTTGGGTTTCACCTCCACGGGAATCTCGCAGGCCTCCCCCGCCTCGCCCGCGTACGCATCCTCGATCACCTCGCCGGGGCTCACCAGGGAAGAGGCCGTGCCCATCCTGGCAGGAGTTGGGCTACACCGCCCACCGGTGCCCCTGCATGGCTGCGCTGCACACACCAAAGAGAAGAGCTCAGTGCCTCCCAATGACATTCGGACAAATGTATAAAACGGCAAACAATGAATTTGGGAGATTTGGGAGTCTAGCTTTACACGTCGTATTGAGCCTGCTGCCCAGTCAAATAGATTCCCAGCCACAGTTCCTAGTATTCAGTTTATTGCTGTATTTTTTCTTAGTTTCAGTTCAGTCCACTTTCCCTTACAGATTATACAACACAGTGGGCAGGACTGTGACACAGTGGGTAGATCTGCTGCTTCACTAAGCTGGGGTTTGCATGGGTTTCCTCCAGTCCAAAGACATACTGGTAGGATAATTGCCTTCTGGGAAAACCGGCTCTGGTGTGAGTCTGGCAGTGTCTGCATGTGCCCTGCGATGGACTGGCATCCTGTCCAATGTGTTTCCTGTCTTGCCGTGATGAGCTTTAGCATAATTGTGACCCTCAGATGGATAAAGCAGTCAGAAAACATATGGATAAATTACATAATAGATTAGTTATACTTCAATAAAAACTTTAGATATCCTTGCTGACTCAAAGTACAAGATGGCTAACAGACAAACAGGACCAGCAATTAGATATAATGACTTCGAGGATATCAGCAACTAGATATAAAGGCTTCAGGGGCACAAACATTTATATCTTCTATACGATACTACTCCAATTGGCACGGAAGTCGGAACTTATATTATTTGTGAGGAGCTGCTTGTTTAATTACATCAAGAACTCTGTGATAATATTTTACTGTTTTTTTTACAACAAATGTTTGGAGTGTTTTGAATATCGCCTCCAGTTTGTCTGCTTTAATACTACCGCCTTATACAAGCACTGTTTCAGGAATATCCCATACCGTTTCAAATGGTTAGGTTCCCTGAATGTCTCACGCCGCCCTTTGTTAATCAAAGACTAACTCAGTACAAACACCAGTCGGTAAAGAAAACAACTCGATCTACAATCTATCCTTGCAACTCTTTGTATCACAAAAACGAAACAAAAAAAAACATCGTATACAAAGTTTAACTGACAGGTTTGGTTGAATTGAGTTTGTTAGAATGCATTTTGCATTGTAAAAAAAAAACGTTCTGAACACGGGATATAAACTTGTTGACTAAGCTTTAAGAAGTCATAAATGTAAAAGTATATTTCTTAAAATAATAAAAAGCACAAAATCTTAATGATAGTACTGTCCATTCAGGTAGCCCCTTAAGTAACGCACAGTTTGAAGCATGCATTCGAAAGGTATCAAACATTTTTTACCTTAATGTAACTCACACTCTCGAGGATATCAGTAACTAAAGTAGATTCTATTTACTTTATCAGAGCAATGAGATCTGAAAACTCTATCCAAGCCAAAGAAAGTTATCTTCCTCAGCACATTTGTTCCAAACGTAAAGCCCGTTATAAACAACGTGTATTCTGAGATTTACCTGATAAGAAAGTAGTTACTTTACTAATGCAGCGGGTATGCTTTGCGGTTTTTTGTGCATCGTGTCCATGTCATTAACATAGAACTCTTGATGTAAAAACAAAAAAAGTAGATTCTTCCGAATTACCCACAGCACTTAACACACTTTGAGTTTCCTGGCTACCCCGGTAACGAGCCTGACATCACATTTCTACGGGTCGTAGTGTGAGACATGAGAAACCACGTTTCTTTATACGCGCTGGATAAGAAAGCGGATTTCAAACTATGGGGAGTCGAACAGGGCTGTGCGTTACCTGTACATGAATAAATACGGAGACAATGTACTGTAATGTAATCCAAATTTTGCTTTTATGCAATTCTGAGTTAGCGACATGATTAGAATAACGAGTTGTTTAATATTGTGTAGGTAGTGGCACGAGTGCCGAAATAGCTCAGTTGGGAGAGCGTTAGACTGAAGATCTAAAGGTCCCTGGTTCGATCCCGGGTTTCGGCAGTCATTTTAACTTTGTGTCTGTTGTCTGCTTTATTATTTTTCTTTAAATCTTACTGTCGCCTGTAATAACGACAGGTTGGGAAACTGAACAGAAAGTGAGCAGTCACACTAATTGCGGTACAAAATTAGAAGCAATGATGGCAAGGACTAATCTATTAAGGTGTTTTGGAGTTGAGTTGTATTATTACCCTGCCCACACAAAAAAAAGGTCATCATTGAAAAATTAAGTAACTGAAGTGTAAGAAGGAACATTTCAAACTGGCTCTAGCAGAGTTTCAAAGTATACCCAGAAGACAAACACACAACCTTAAACATGTTGAGCCCTCTGTGGCTCAACACCCATCCCCCCACAGCCACAAGCTACCAGCTGCGACTGCCCAACACCTCCTCCATCCCCCCACAATCATGGCTGCCTACAGCTACAACCCCCAACAGCTACTCACCCCCCCATCCCCACAGCTGCCACTCTCCAACACCTCCGCCATTAACACCTGCAGCACTGACAGCGCTTTGAACACCATCCCCCAGGCCAGGCTGACCATCACGGCTGACCAGGTGAAGAGGGAGCTGAAGAGGCTGCACCAGGGTAAGGCCACAGGACCAGATGACGTCTGTCCAAGAGTTCTGAGGGCCTGTGCTGATCTGATGAGCGGAGTGCTCCAGCGACTGTTCAACCTGAGCCTGCGCTTGGAGAAACTCCCTGTGCTCTGGAAGACATCATGCCTGGTCCCAGTACCAAAGAAAGGGTGCCCCTCTGTCCTCAATGACTTCAGACCAGTTACACTGACTTCTCACGTCATGAAGACACTGGAGAGGCTATAGATAGACTGGAAGGGTCTAAGAACATCGAGGCCATTTACAAGAAGGGTCAGAGCCAACTTTACTTCTTGAGGAGTCTCAGGTCCTTCAATGTATGTAGTAAGATGCTACATATGTTCTATCAGTTCGTGGTGGCGATTTTCTATGCGGTGGTATGCTGGGGCTCTGGGATTAGAGCACAGGGATTAGATTCTAACAGGCTGAACAAGCTCATCAGAAGAGCAAGCTCTGTCATTGGGTCTGGCCTGGACCCCCTGGAGGTAGTGGCTGAGAGGAGAATGGTGTCCAAACTAGAAGCCATCATGGACAACGTCTCCCATCCCCTCTATGACATGCTTGTAGAAATGAAGAGCACGTTCAGCAATAGACTGATCCATCTACGGTGTGACAGGGAGCGCTACAGGATGTCATTCTTGCCTTCTGCCATAAGACTGTACATTGCATCCACCTTGCATCTGGACAGAGGCAACATTGACAGTGACCTGTTTATGGACTAAAAAGTAAACTTATACATCTGTTCTTTTTTTGTTGTTTTTGTGCAATATATGCCAGTGACCTGTGTAATACAGTTATATTTATATTTATATTTATATTGTGCAATATGAATTTTTTTGTCTGTACTGTTCTGTTCTGTTTTGTTCTTTGTGTGTTCTGGACTGTGAGTAACTCTTCAAAGTGCACTTCTCACTGTACTGATTGTATTGTATGTATTGTATTATTATTATTGTATCATTGGTTACACTGTTGCTGTGTTGTCTGTGTTAGGCTGCTATTGCATATCAATTTACCTCACGGAATCAATAAAGTATCTATCTATCTATGATCTCTTCAGATAATTTGCAAATAATATTGTAGTGCCTTCGCCCGGTGGTGAGGAGGAAGCGCACCTAGGCACTCATGGTACCGCGAAGCAGGCTAGGAGTTGTAGGCGGGGGGGAGTCTGAGGGGCAAAATACACACTCAAACAGGAATTAGAGGAACACTTCATCACTAATGACCCAATTCGCACGTGGCAAGGTATACAGGCCCTCACAGACCACAAGAAGAAGAACATCTGTGCACCTGCCCATGATGCCTCCCTGCCTAACGAGCTCAACACCTTCTATGCTCGGTTTGAAGCCAGCAACACAGAACCAGGCATCAGAGCTGCACCCTCCGCAGCTGACTAGCTGCTCTCACTGTCTGCAGATGAGGTAAGGAGATCCCTGCAAAAAGTGAACACACGCAAGGCTGCAGGACCCAACGGCATACCCAGTTGCGTCCTCAGAGCCTGCGCCAATCAACTGGCATTTTCAACATGTCTCTGGCCCAAGCCGTAGTCCCCACCTGCTTCAAGACAACCAACATCATCCCAATACTGAAGAAAACTACAGTGACATGTCTTAATGACTACCGATCGGTGGCACTAACACCTGTTGTCATGAAGTGCTTCGGGAGGCTGGTCATGAAGCTCATTAAGGACAACATTCCAAACACACTGGACCCGTACCAATTTGCCTACCGGCCCAACAGATCCACAGATGACGCAATCTCCATTGCCATACACACTGCCCTATCTCATCTGGATAAAAAGAACACATATGCAAGACTGCTATTCATTGACTTCAGCTCAGCTTTTAACATTATCATTCCAGAGAAACTAGTCAAGAAACTCTGTGCACTGGGTCTCAACACCATCCTCTGCAACTGGATTCAGGACTTTCTGAGAGGCAGAGCTCAGGTTGTCAGGCCTGGAAACCACACCTCTGGCACACTAACTCTGAACACTGGGGTCCCCCAGGGGTGTGTGCTTAGTCGCTTAGTCCATTACTCTACTCCTTCTACACCCACAACTGTAAAGCCAAACACAACACCAACCCCATCATCAAGTTTGCCGATGACACCACAGTTATAGGTCTGATCACAGACAATGATGAGAGGGCCTACAGGGAGGAGGTCAATCTCCTTACAACGTGGTGTGAAAACAACAACCTCACCCTCAACGTCAGCAAAACCAGGGAACTGATCGTTGATTTCAGGAAACTGTAAAACGGACATGCCCCTATCCACATCAACGGGACTGAAGTGGAAAGGGTCAGTAACTTTAAATTCCTTGGTGTCCATATCACCGAGGATCTTACATGGTCTCTCAATGCCACCTGTCTGATCAAGAAAGTGCAACAGCGCCTGTACTTCCTAAGACGATTGAAGAAGGCTAAGATATGTCCCCAGATCCTCACTAACTTTTACAGATGCACTATAGAAAGCACACTGAAGCTTGCACCACAGTGTGGTATGGCAACTGCAGTATTGCTGACCGCAAAGCCCTACAGCGAGTGGTGAAAACTGCCCAGTCCATCACTGGGCTTGCCCTCCCATCTATACAGGACATTTATGACAGATTGTGCTTGAGGAAAGCTCTAAGCGTCATCAAGGACCCCACACATCCCAGCTGCAGACTGTATGACCCTCTACCATCTGGAAAACAGTACCGGAGCATTCGGGCCCGGACTACCAGACTCAGAGACAGTTTTTACCCCCGCACTATCAAACTGTTAAACTCACAGCCTCTCTCACTCTCACCTCACCTCTCACCTATGATCTGAACCTCACAGTGCCTTCTTTCTTTCTTACCAAAAACTCACACATTGAAATCTACCTCTACCTAACATGTCAAAAAGTTCACTCCCCATAATTTCTATCCTTTTATTTCATTCTGTTGATGCATGTTTTTGCACATCTGATGTTGTTTTTGCACATTGCCTGTTGTTGTTTTGCACATTGCCTGTTGTTGTTTTTTGCACACTGCCTGTTGTCTCTGTCTTTCTTTTATGATACAATTGTATTATTGGTTTTTTGTACTACGTATCGTCTGAGAGCTAGCTAAATAGCATTTCGTTATACCATATACCTGTATATGAGTATAATGACAATAAACTGAACTTGAACTTGACTTGATGACCAGCAGCTGACCCTGCTTATGTAAATAGTGTTATATTAGTTTAAGTGTCCTGTGTAGCTTTGTAAGTGCATAGTCTTCTGTTAACGAGTTACCACCCTAACTGTGTGTACGTGTTCTGTTGGTCCCCTTATATGTGCGTGCATCCTGTGTTTGGTTTTGTGGTTTCGATAGGAGAATAAAAGCAGTCACTTGTTCTGCTCTCGTCTCCACTTGTCCTTTGTCCTGTGTGAACCTGAAAACGCTACAATACACTGAATTATAATACCTAATAATGCACAAATGAGAGGAAAGCCATGGTATTGAATGTGATTCTGGAATTTCAAATGTCCACTGTCTTTGGGAAATACTAACCTGAGTGATTTGAAATGTGGCATAACTGTGGTACATACGGTATATTGAAGTGATACTTTATAAACCCAAACTGTGTCATCACTTCCTTTGTGAAATGTATTCTGGAATATGAGCTGCTTTTCTTCATGCACTGTTTGGACAATCCAGACAGCCCTAAACGTAGTATGTATCATTTTAGGGACATGTCAATTACAAATTGAAATAAGCATCTGTTAAACTAGAATGGCTGCCTGAGCACCTTTTGATTTTCTTGTTGATTCACATCCAGTAAAATGACCTGCTCTTGAGGAAGAATTGTGTGGTTTAAATATAAATTTGGCATTAGAATCATTCTAATTTAAATACCCTAATATTACATTTCTGTATAAGCCAAGCAATGTTTTGCTGAAAATCCACTTTACCTTTGTGTTTTTAACCATTGCACCAGCCATGCTGGTTACAGTATGGAAAAACAGGTTTTCTGCACAAACCTATATGGGCACCTGACAGCTCTTCCGTTCTGTTGTTTGTAGACAACCTGTACTGTAGTGTAAACTGCTGTGTTCAAAACATATTTTTCCCACATTGCTTTTCTGTAGGATGTCACGACATTTTAATGTAGTGGGGAACCTCCACAATGTCATGCTGTTTTCTTGTTGTTGTTTGTTATTGACCATTTCTCATGATTGTCAGAGGAAGATAGAACCAGCTACTTTGCATTGCAAAATAACTCAGATCTGAGGTGTTAAAATTAAAAACAAACTTGCAGCTCAGCCAAACCTTCCCTAATTGGAGTCTTGTTGTTTCTTCAACAGATTATAGTATGGAAGTTCTTCCACGTAAAGACTCTGGCTGCATATCTACATGTGCAGCCAGAATGAAGCATTTGAAGATATAACAAGAATTATAGCAAGTGAAATGACAGCACAAATCCCTTAAATATTCTTCAGTCTTGTATTGTAGACCACTGCAACACAATGCAGGAAATTTACAACTGACAAGAAAAGAGGAACTTAACCTACAATATAGTGACATGAACTGTAAGCAACGTCGCAATAACGTTCTGCAATAGTTAATTCTTTCTGTTTCACTTATCTAACAAATAACTACTCAGGGGTTCAGTATTTTCAGTAGTCAAAGTGTGATTTTAAGTGCACAGAGACTTCAAACTCTCCAGCCCACCATTGTTATGTTAATCTATGCAATTACCACCTACTTTCAAAATCCTACGTCTAAAGGATCTGTGCAACTTACACCACAAAATCTTACTATTAAAGGAGAGATCAAAAGATGTGCATCTTACAAAAATGTTTGATTATTTTTCATCAGAAAGCCCTTGAGCAGTCAGAGAGAAGTCAATAGAAGACCTGAGTCAGCTCTCACTGTTCAACAGTTAAGACGTTTTAAACTCCTTCTTCACTGATCTTTTTTTTAATCTCACAAGTTTTAAGTAAAGAAATGTCAAATTTGTTGCCAGAGTCACACAATGACACCATCACTATTACTATCACTATCACTTCAGTCTCTTTGGGTGATCCTGCTGAAAGGAAGGAAAGGCGGTGGTTTTAAAACCATACTTTAAAGTGGGAAGTGGGCCTAAACTATTTAATAAGATCACTTTATTGGCCATATACAATTTATTGTATGAGGAATTTGTCTTTTCCCATACCCCAACTTGCTCTCCATGAAACACACAGACACACAGGCAGGGAGAGAACCTTATGTGATGCATACAATTAACTCTACTGTACAAAACCTGGAAACCTTTTTTAAGTCTTCAAAAATTTAAAGGTGATTTTGAAATTCCCTTTTATATCGCTGGTGACATTTTCTTAATCAGTGTTAATCATTTCCCTTTTTCCGCTTGTTTTATTTGCGGTTTCCATGAATAGTTCTTCAGAAGAGAGTTCTTCAGCTAAACCTATAGTAAAACAAATATCAGAGTAGTTCAAGTAGGTAGCTGCATCAGCATGCGTAGGCTGGAAAGGAACAGGTAAAGGTTTTTTTCCATGCTGAAAAGATAAGAAAAGAAAGACATTGTGTTTCTTTTCTTCTCTTTTGTGCCCTGAGATGGACTGGCATCTTGTCCAGGGTATATCCTGCCTTGCACTCATTACTTGCCAAGATAATTACAGCTCTCCCACGACCCTGAATTGGAAGAAAAAGTTAGAAAATGGATGGATCTTTAAATATATTTCATTATTTGGTGGTATCTGTTACTCATTTTTAGATGCCTTTAATATATTACAAATACTGTTTCTTTGAATTTGTACAAATGTTTTCAAACATGTTACAGATATCTCTAAATGATCATTTGGCTTGCTATAAAAACCTCCTAGATAAATACAAGTAAAAAAGGAACATAGTAGCAAGACCTCTGAACACATGCTTTCTGGCGCTTGCTTCCTCAAAAAGTGCAAAGGGGTCATATCAGTTTCACAAGAAAAGATACTGGAGGACAGAGAATATCTTTCAGCTTGCCCCAAAAGCTGTTTCTGACAAGTAGAATTCAGTAGATGGTTAGTACTCAAAGCCAGTACTGTATTTTGTTATCCTATGTCTTTCAAGGGTTTTGTCTTATAAACTCTTGAATTTATTTTTAGAAAGTAGCATTGAATAATGTTTCCTTAATGTGACACTAATGCAGACAAATCTGTTATGTAGTGAGAAAGTATTTTTCGAGCTGAAGAATACTTACCACTAAAACTAGTAAGCATTGAACAAGATAAGAGATTCAATTAATATGTTGCTAAAAAGTGGAGCTTTATCAGTGTTACCAAGCACTTCCCATAACATTCAACGGGGTCTTAAACAAGGTACATCTAAAGGACTGGTTTGTGCAGACTGGAAGAAAGATTGAACCAACTATACCCAACCCATCCTCCTCAATCCCCAATCATATATATATATTGAATGAACATCAGTCAAGTGTTCAAAATTCTCAAAGACTTCAACAAAGTCAACCAAGTAGACTTCTTCAGAATCCACAGGGGAACACAAACCAGAAGATACAAATGGAAATTACAATAAGTGTATTTAATTCTGAAAATAGGAAGCACTTTTTTACAGAAATGGTTGCAGGACTGTGGGGAAAAGTATACAGTCATATTGTCCGGATGATACCCTGGATTCTATGAAGAAATGGTATGGCGTCCTCTTGTTTGTGACCTTTCCTGTATTATTTTCTGCATTTGTTCATTTGCACATGTAGAATGGTCTGTTGTCAATTAGTCAATGATCATAGGATGTGGAGAACATTATGATTATGGTGTTGAAACACATTTCCTGGAATGTGATTTTTGGATCAATAAGCCACTAGAAATCAAATTTATTCAATTCAATTCAATTTATTTTCATATAGCACTTTTCACAACAAGGTTGCCCCGAGACGCTTAACAATGCAAGTAACCATACATTTTGTGAAAATTTAGTAGTGGCAATGAATATGCATTTACAAAGTAGTGAAATTTGATTGAAACATTAATACACTCAAAGGAAAAAAAAGTGGTAAATAAATTATCAGTCTCAGACTGATATAATTATAAAAATATATTATAAAGTTTGTTTAATGTATACTGTACTTTCTTTCATTTCAAAATAAATTCCCTATGCTCTTTTTAAATCATTTTAATTTATTATATTAGCTTATTATATCCCACCAACTTTTTAAATCACCATAAAGAATTTGAGCTTTTCACAAAATATGTACCCTGAGCACATAATAACGTAAAAAAATACATTCAAATAGATCAGCAAAATGGAACCCTTTTCAGCTCTTTTTACAACTTTACACCTTTACACTTTTTACAAATGGAAAATTCTCATCATGTGATGCTCATCTGTTCTTCAATGTAGGTTTTTTTCCTACAGAACAGATTCATCAGTGACTTTTGGAATGTCTTCGTGAGAAAGAAGTACATAACAGGATCAAAAACTCCACTGATGCAGGTGAGGGAGGATGTGATGCGATTAGTGAAAGCCAGATAAGCCATCTTGTCTAGGGTCACAGCTTTGCTGTTGAAGGCGCTGATGTAGATGACCCGGTTAATATGATAAGGCACAAAGGCAACAAGAAAATTTGCCAGGATCAAAATAATCATCTTAAAGGCTTTTTCCTTCATGGGTCTGTTCTCCTGGTGCATTTTCTGTAACTTGTGTATTATCAGTAAATATGAGACCACAATTGTGACCAGAGGGATGGCAAAGGCAACAATGAGTGAAACAAGTGCTCTGTCTGACATTTGTTCTCTGTAAAGTTGCTTGCAGACTGTACAGTTCTTTAATTGTATGGTTTGTCTGGATATGAGTAAAGGAAACATGGTGATGATAAGGATAATCCACAGAGTTACAGATATTATGTTAGCATAAAGGGGTTTCCGGAGTCTCAAGGATTTGACAGGGAAGACTACAGCAATGAAACGGTCAAGGCTAATGCAGGTCATGAAGTAAAGGCTGCAGTACATGTTGAGGTAAAAGAGGAAGCCCACAATGCGACAAAGTACCTCACCAAAGGGCCAGTTGCTGTCCATTATGTGATAGACAATGCGCATTGGGAGAATCATCACATAGCTGGTGTCAGCCACAGCCAGGTTCCTGAGAAATACAGTGGAGGTCTTGTTCTTCTTGTGGTAGACAAAGACCCACAATGCCAAGGTGTTTCCAGGTACTGCTAGGATGAAAATCAAAAAGTAATAACCAGCAAAAATGCAATTCTCGAGGTATGAACCTTTGGCATCCCAGTAAAATTCGTCACTGCTGTTATAATTCATCATGGAGGCACCCACCCTAGGAAGAAATAAAAAAATGTGAAGACTTTGTATAAGGCAACTGTCCTTTAGTACTACTGCAGTCATTAGGTAAGTTTCAGATGAAAACATATTTCAGATTTTTTTAGTCACCAGAGAAGAGATTTTTAGCCAATTCACAAAGGAGGTTAATAAACACAGATAAACAACAGACAAGATGACTTTAATTTGTCTCAGAGCTTTTGATCAAAAGCCAAGAGAATACGGCACAGATAATCACAACAATACTATCTCTCAGCTGTGCACTGCTAACTAAGGACTCCAAAGTTGGTTTGTGTCATAACACGGGTTTAACATTTGGGCCTTAGAGACTAATTCAATTCTTATGTTGAACAAAGAAGACTAATTCTACAAAAGAGGAAAAAAGTATTCCTTGAAATGCATGACTGTTTGAAAAGAACAAATGGACCTCATGTTCTGAGACAAAATCTTGCATCTATAAAAACAGAAAGGAATCTTGTTCCCCAATGTGGGCACAGAATGATTTTCCAGAAATTAGAACATCAATTCAAAATGAATGAATACAGTAGCACATGAGCAACAAGGTCAACAAAAGACAAAACCAAAGTTAAATAAGGTATTTTTCTAAAAAAAATATACACACATCTCGGCAATTTCACAATCATTTAAGCAATATCAGCATGGCACTGTAAGGCCAGACATTGTATGGTACTTTTTTATTGTGTGAAAAGCTTATTTACTAAGCAAATAAATTAGCAAACACTCACATGATAAAGAAATTGGGAGACCTATAGTAAATTGTGCTTCTCAACTTCTGTCAGGTCTGTTAATATTCCATCTGGGCATTGGATTGCTTTAGCATTATTGGTTGTGAAACAATTTGTGAAGGAAACATTAAAGCAGCAAAGTACCAGGGCAGACTTCTGATTGAAGTGATACTCAGTGGTTGTAGGTTTTTTATTTGAGCAATGTAATCAGAAGCCATGAAATACTCAATATTAGCAAGAACATTCACTTGTAAACAGTTTCTTAAATTTATCAATGTACAATAAAAATGCACATGATATTAAAATTTCAATAAAACTGTACATTTTATTTAGCTTTAATCATTTTCATAAAATTTCATAGTCTTGTTAAGAAAAAGCCTTTTTGTTCTTACAGTTTCTGAACAAACATGAATATTGGAGGCTATAAAAAATGTGTTCAGCTTGTGTGCCTGTCATTTGTTTCCCTTGGTTTCTCCTTGCTCTAAATTTTGCTATTTCCCCTTTGAAATAGCAAGCAAAAAGGGAACCTAACTGAAAGGGAAATTTCTATGTATTAAATTGGAATGTCATGTGTTTTAAAGAATCTTTTTGTTAAAAAGCAGTATATAAAAGGCTAACGTGTTTTAGATACTAGAACCAAATCTCCAGAGCCTATTGATATTCTACCAATTTTAACTGATGGAAATGTGCTGTCCCCCAAACCTTGTTAACCTGATATCTGATAACTGCATTTTCCCTTCAGAACATTTTATCTTCAGAACAGTGTTTTTCACCAGCAGTTGAACAAATTGTTTTGTCTGTCAGGAGTTTTTTGAGAGGTTTAACAGGCAGCAGGTTCCTTTATGATATACTTGTGTCACCCATTCATTCCACTCATTGACACTACTTAAATATCTGGGTTGTTCATCTTTGTATTTTAAATGTTAAGTTCCTGTTCAACCCAAATAAATACAGAACAACATTTCTTCTCTCATTCAGATGGTAGAGCACCTTAAACCATAGAATATACACCCCGGCAAACTAGACCATGAAGTTTTCCCTTTGGCCTATTCCTTCTCATGTTCTCTACCTCTTTGTCTTCTTGGATGATCCTATTTGGCTGAGGACTGTTCCCCGTAATCAGCCTGGTGTCCCTGACACAGCAGTAGTGTTTGCTGTTTCCTTCCTCTCTCTCTGTCCATTATCTGCAGCTCCTGCCGTTAAAGGAGATCTAATTATTCACCCCTGTGCTGCTTTGACTCCTCCTTCCTGTGGTGAGAAGGTAGGCTGTTAACTTGCCAGGCAGAGCTCACTTCTTCAGGTGCCAAGGCCTCTGGTTAATCACAATCCTTCCTGTGAGCCATTCCTGGTTCTAAACAGTATACCCATACATCATTGATCCTGGCAGATACAACCTGCCTGTCCAAGACCTATGGCATACTTCAGTGTATCTTGTTCAAGGTACCCTATAGCCCACCAAGTCCCAGAGGCAAGTTGAATCCTGGTCGGAGATCTCATTGTTACTCCCACAATACTAGAGCCAAGACGCATTCTCAACCGAACACATAAACATCCTTAATGACCCTCAAAGGAAAACCTATCCTGACAGCTCCTTTCCCCCTGGAATGTTTTAAAGGGAACACTTCAAATTGACACAAAACAAGGATAAATTTGTCAACTAAAAGGGATTCATTTTAGGGTGGAGAATAGGAATTACTTCTGCAGACAAAAGAGCTTTCTATCTAGGTGGCTTAGACTCAAACTCTGGTTTCCTTCAAGAAATGACTGGGTAAACATTTAGGTTTTTAACTTTGCTGTGAAATTACCAAAAAGCAGGATGGGCCAAATGTTTGGAGCCAGAAGCTGTCAGCTGGTAATTACCATCTCTATTCTGACTCATTATTTTCAAAAGATTTCTTATCTGATGAAATAACTAATTAAACCACCCCTTCGTAAGCCATTCTCTCCTTGCAACCAGCCATTATCATGTACACTTCTCCCCTGCATGTACAGTATGTCATGCTTTTTACATTGAGTTCAGCCACTCCTGGCCATGCACCGGTAGCTGCATAAGTATAAAAAAGTATGAAAAAGTTAACTCATCTGTAGTACTTAAAAGTGTATTTAGAAACCTCTCTAAAGTGGTCACAGTCCATCTCTTACTGGAGTGAATCTGCCATAACAAATGTTTGCTCTGAAAAATTATTCTATTCAGAGCAAAGGACTGAAGACATTGATTTGCAATTACTGTTGCTGTCTATTTTAATGGAGAGACATTCTAAATCTATTACTACAAGAGAATTAGAAGCTGCATTTCAAGGAACAGAAACTATGTGAGTGAGTTTGGGCATCAGGAAAGAGCCCAGGATTTTAAAGAGAGCTCCACATTCTATTAAGGACTTTGGAATAGATACAGTACACCTATCATTTCCTACTTTAGTAGTGACTACTTTCAGTTTTGTACGCCAATACAATCCAATTCCATCTCCACTGTTTCCAGTTCCGTTAAAATCTTGGAATGCAATTTAGTTGATTCTTCTTAGACATTTAGTTCACACATTCCAAACACAGTCCTAGCTATGGTCCATGAAATGTTATCATTTTGTATTAACTGTCTTCATCAATAAGTAGATTTGGTAGTAGTCACCTTAACGCACTCCTTCACTCATTCCCCAGTATTCTCACTGTTTGATCAGTGATGCATCTCAACAGGAAACAACTTGCTCTCTCTATTTCTCCCTCTCTGAGACCAACCATCTGTCTGTAGTCACAGGGAATATTTGTGACTATCACTCAATTGGTTTTGGGAGAAGGGTTCGATACCAAAGGTCATCCAAAAGGAGAAAGGCAGACAAATCCAAAGCGCTAGACGAGGTCAAGGTCGAAGGTTAGTTTAGGTTAGGTTTGAGTATCCAAAAGCAAGATCCAAAGGTTTTGTCCAAGTGAGGCAAGAAGTTCCTACTTTCTATCCCCTGAGGGCAGCACCTGGTCCTGAGGCAGTGCCTCTCAAGCAACCCTCAAGGAGTCAGGGGAGTCTTCCACTTCCCTTTCTATCCCCTGAGGGCCTAGCTCCCAGTCGTGAAGCAGCTCCTCTCAAAGTGACTCTCAGCGAGTCAGGGGAGTCTTCCTCTTCCTTCCCTACCCCTGAGGGCCTAGCTCCCAGTCATGAGGCAGCGCCTCTCTACCGACTCTCTGTGAGTCTGGGGTGTTCATGTTTTCATGCCCCAGAGCCTGCCAAGTCAGCCAACCCAGTCGGCCACCTGGGTTCCCCCGTGTGGTCCAGGTACTCTTTTCTCTACTTTACTAACCCCTGTTTCTCCCCTTGAACTGTCTATCTTTACTTCCTATAAACCTTGTTGAAGTAATGTTTTATGTAAATGACATTTTGAAATTCTAAGGACAGGATAAAAAACATACTACACATACTAAAGCTGGAAAGTTTTAGTTGCGTTTTTCTCTTTCTAAAATAATTTGGTCAGTTGACTGTGGTCTGAAGTACACAAGAAAGCCTTCTTTTTAAATAATCAGTAGGATGATTAAGTGAAGATTTTTGCATGTGGGCAGATTAAAAGAGAACTGGTTTCTTTTCACCTTGTCCCTGAAACAGAATTCAGGAATGCTTTCTTGAACTAGCTTTGGCTCTTAAATAATTCACTGTGCTGTTTGTTCTGGGATATGATTCACCTGGATGTTGCTTTCAGTAATTTAATTAAGGATTTTATTAAGGATTTTTATTAATACGGCACTAAATAATAATTATATTATTAAGATGTTTTTATTATTGAAATGCCTGCCACATACATCAGAAATTGTAGCATTATCTCTATTTCTACAGAAATAATTTCCCCAAATGCAACAACCGAAATCTAAAACTAAAAAAAGTTTTCTTCAGAAAGTGATCCTAACTACAAACATAAAATAAAGTGATGTTTTCACATTGCAGGCAGCATAAAACATCTAAGAAAATTTCCTAATCTTAATATTTTTTATTTTTAACCCTTCACTCTTTTATGGAATGCACAGTACGTGGCTATGTATCTGACATAATTACTCCAGAAATGAGCAAGATAAAAAAACATGAGAAATGAGCAATGTTTTTTTTTGTATGACTGAAATGAAAACTTGAACTTGAAATGCTGTTGTAAAGAAAATGTGTTGCTTTAATAGAAAACAGCATCTTGCAGCACAGAAGAAAAGCTGATGAAGACCTCAAGGAAACTTAAAAAGATAACACTATTTTTATAGAAACCAATGCCTCCAATCATATTGATTATAAGATACATTGTTAAAAAGAAAGTAGAGTATATTGAACATGTTTGAACTGAATTATTTTTTCTGAGACATTCTGAAATCAGTGAGTGAGGTGGTGCCTTCAACAGTTTGAACTTTTGAGTTTAAAAATCCACTTTGATTCATTCCTTTTCAGTTCACACTTCATATTATCAATACAGCAATTTCATAGAGTATTAATGTATATGTGACTACCTCAGACAAGTTTGCATGTCATGTCTGCATATTCCTTAAACAACTCAATAGCAGAACATAGTAAGAAATTAATCATATTTTTGGCACTGGAATTTAAAATGGGCTCTTGGGTAATTGTCTTTACTGTCAAAAATGTGAAATAGTATTTTCTGGACTTGACTGTTTTAGACAATTATAAATTATTTTACCTGTTTCCAGAGCAACAAGTAAACATTTGTAAACAATTAGGAAAGAAAAATGTTATAATCTAGAGATATACTTCCAAAATGACCAGGATCAATAACAATGATACAATTCCTGAAAGTACATTTTCATGACTAGGTTTTGTGAAGTGAAGATGTTGAAGTGGAAATATTAGTTTGCCACAAAGCTGGTTATGATATTATTATAGTAAAGCCTAATAGAACAATAGGAACCAATACAATTGTTTTAACAATTCACATGCTTTCTGTTTCCACATAAAAATCATGCGCTGACTAGAGAAAGACCATAATGATCTTTAAAAAATATTAATAAAATATTTAATAAAAATAGTCACAAATTGTAATTTATGTCATGTCTAGAATTTGTTAAAAGAAGTATTTTAAAGCTAAAGGGCTGATATCAGATGAAATTGTACTCTTGTAGTTCATAACAGAATATTTCATCATATATTTCTTCATACTTTCAATGACTTTTTTACACAACCACCTACTGTAGCTCACAAATATCTAATCAGATTGCTGCTTTTAAAATATCGTATCCTAATTAATCTTAGCTAGACTGGTTTAGTCGATTTTATTACCATACTGTGCAATTTAAATGATAAGGTAGCATTGAGAAACTCAAATAATCTGAAATGATCTCTTACCTTTCTGTCCAACAACTCACAGGAACAGAGTCTACTGTATCGTTTTCTTGCCTCAAATGTCTGTGAAACCCGGCCTACAATTGGTTGTACATAGTTATTAATCAAAATTTACAGTACATATACAAAATTAAAATTACTTAATTCAAATCTGCTTTGCAAAGGGTGGGTTTCTTTATTTAAGAAGTACATGTACTGTGGCCATAAAATTATTACAGTGACCACTGGTGGTATGTTTTCTTTACCTACAGTACATTCACCTTTCTCATATAAGACGTCTCACCTGCCCCTGCTGCAAGGTGAAGTCCAAGCTGTCTTATCTGTGATGTTTTGAATGTTCAAAGAAGCCGTAGAAAAAAGCCAATTCAAGGTAAAGAACAATTCAATAACAGAACGACCAAGATCAAAATCAAATTTTGAAAACTTGTGAAACTAAGACATTTATTTTAGTAGTATTTTGTTTAGGGTCATGTACAGGGTCATGAGAAAGATTTTAGATGAGAAGCATATTCAGTCAATTTTGGACTTAGTTTGCAGAAGTTGCCATATGAGAGCTTAAATTTTAATTTACTCCTTACATTCACTTCTGGTGGAGTTTCTAGCAACGTTTGGGCCTCCACTTCTTGGCTAGGAAGCCTGTTTCACATACACACAACACTTAAAGCTAGGTGGTAGACACCTAGCACAGCTTGGGTTCTATGGTCCAGACATGGTAGGGTTGTCTCTGGGTCATGTCACCAGCTGGCTGCAATTGGGATTCCCCAAGCAGTGGCAGAAAATTGTCTGAGTGCCTCTGACAGGGACAGGGTGAGATGAGTGAACTCTTTGGCACAGTGAACTCTTTGGCCTCCAAGTTTGCTTAGTGCTTGCAGGGAGGTGGTGCTGTTAGTGGGAAGCACTCCTCCCCCCATCACTACTGGACCTCTAGTACAGGGTTATATTTTTTGTGAAGGTTAAATGCTAAAAGATAAATACTTTTTCATCTCTGTGTGTAGTCATCAAGGGATTATTAGCTACAGTAAGAGCCACAATTTGAAAAACACACAACTGGCAATTCCAAATCTCATGGGCGTAGTTTCCAACTGTAAAAACAACAAGAACTGCTGCTTATCCCCTCAAATTAAACAAACCTATAAGAGTTGCGTTACATCTCTTTTGCGAGTCTCCTTAAGTGTTTTATATCAGTCCTGATCTCACTGATTCTGTCCAAAAAACAAAAATTAAATTTTAAAACCTGACCATGCACGCTTCACAACATGCCTAGAGAGGGTGGCCACAGGTTAGGCAACCTGTGTGAGAAGCGTTGTGTAAAAGGTGTGGGACCAAGATATTTTGGCACAGAAGGGTGAAAATGGGCAAGCTTCCGGAATTTGAACTCCTCCCCAACTTCTTTTTTAAAAACTCCATAGTTGTGCTTATCGGACACTCCCCTGGATGGCAGTGAAGTGACAGTAGGAACAGGACACCTCGCTAACCCAGGTGCTACTCGCAGCATAACCCATTGCACATGACCTGGCTTGACTGTGGCTGGAGATCCACGCCGTGCCCTCCCACTGACTCATGAGCTAGACTGCCAAGGCAGCTGTTTGCCTTGATCCTGCCTGCTTCTATGGAACACCCAAGGCAAGCTGGTGGATGCTAAAAATCCTGTCTCTTGACACCGCTATCATACTGGTGCACACGTGTGGCCCTGTTTTTAATTACAATGTCATTGTTTCCTATTAATGCAGTTGTCTTGTGTTCTTCCATTTTATTCCTTTCGCTTCAACTTTTGATCTAAAAAGCATGAACGCTTATTTATCTAGGTAAGGACATGTTGTTTGTTTGTGTTTTGTTCATAATGTTCTCAAGGGCTTTCCAAAATCCCATCAGGACTGTTGTGTTATGAGTTCTCTGCCCTTCCTGGTTTGAATGCTACACAACCTACTAGTATAGGTCCATTTTGTCAAGAAATGAGGCCAGCACCACAAAATCAGACAAGCAATGCATTGGACAAGACTCCCTATCACTTTTGTACTACCATTTCTAAATGTCTAATAAATAAGCTCCAGGTCACTAACTCTCTGAAAGGATGTGCAGGTGATATCTTGCTGTGTACTAGTGCTACAAAATACAGATGTAGTCAGCTCTCTTCAATTATGTCCATGCCCTGACACATCTAGGTCTCAAAGTACTGTTTTTTTCCCAGATATTCTTCCTCCATCTGGTCCTGTGAAAGGCTATAATCTCCCAGGAACTGAAATCAATGATGCATTGTTTGTCTTGCTTTTACCATATCTTTTATGCTGTTCTACTTTGAGGTCATTGACTTGAATAAACTAGAAAATGAGAATAGAATAGTGTTTAAAAATCTGGTGTTAAGCCCGGGCAGGTTCGAGCTCTCAGCCACTGGTCTCCTCAGAGATCGGTCACATTCACATGACCCCACCAGACGCTATACACACCAGATTCAGCAGGCTGTCCCAGCCACCTCCTGCCCATTAAACTTGACTGTACAGTAATTAAGCCCTGTACCACTGCACTCAGTCTTGCTTTGCCCTGACCTATGTTCTGGGTTTCAGTCATGTCTTGTTTTCTGGTAATCCTATGCAATCCTGCATCCTTTTCCAGTCCAGGTCCTTCTTATCTGGTGGTCTGTGCAGTCCTGTTCCTGTTTCCGGCCCGATCGTGCTTCCTGGTTATCCTGTGAGCTATGTCGTTCCTTTCCTCCTTGTACAGCCAATAAACCAGTCTGGTCCCTTCATTACTCAAAACACAGCAAACAATCTTCCATCTGGCTGTGGTGTAACACCTGAAGTTTAACAGCTGGACAACATGACAAATCCAAAGGAACAGATGGCAGATCATAGCTTTGTTGCTTGTAGTACCTGACTGGGATAGAACACAGAACACTGATGACGATGCATCTATCCTATGATCATATGAATCTGGAAAATTTTCCACAAACATTATGCAAGATGTCACTTTTTTAGTCTAATAGAGAAAAGTAGAAGTGATGACTGCATGGTAGACCATCCGTTTGGTTTCAGTTTTGTTGTTGTGATCTTCAGAAACCCATTTTCTCAGATGTGCACTTGCAGATTTCCTGCAAAATCACAAATCTTTATTTATATTAGCCTTCTGTTAAAAAATAACTTGGGAAGTGCTCTAAATCCTTCAGACACACATTGTGATTCCAAACTGATGGTGTATACGCATTTGGAAAATGCCTGTTAGGATCGAAGTCAAGCAGTTGGGTCAGCCCTGAACGTGAATCAGATCAGAAACAGTAGTGAGGTGAATCATCTTCCTTTATCCTGGATGTGCGCAACAGGATCTCCATAAACCACAGGAATCTCAAAGAATAGGAGCAAACACCTGCCATTAAATACTCTTTCAGATGGGGGTGGCTGGCTAACTATTGCCCACCTCTTCTGTAACTTTCTATCCCTAATTGATTAATAAATTGAGCAATGCAGTAATTGATCATCATTTCAGCATTCTACCAACTCTCCTAGATTGCAACTGACAACACCCCACAGTCCTATAATAATACCATAATACTCCTGTAGCCTTCCTCATCTTCATCACAGGAACCATAATAAGTAATAAAATAAGGAAGCTACTATGGAAACGCAAGGACTCAGGGCTGATGACCCTGGTGTCCCTCACTTGAATCTGTATTGGTTATATACCCCCTGCTAGAGGTCCCCTGCAATGAGGTTCCAAAGAGGCCAGTTTCTTTTAGTCATAATCTATATGATTTGTTATAACCATCCACCAAGTCCCTATAATCAAGATCCACTTAACATCTTCTAGGCCTTCTTGCAGATATGGGTATAATGCAGTGAGAGTATTATCAGCTTTCATTTAACTTTCATATTATTTGAAGCTGATGCAGAAGCAATAAAAAAAAGGACAGGCATTTTACAGGATATAAAAGTGAGACAACGCTAGAAAAAAATGATCATCAATTAATAAATCAATTTTAGTGTTGATCAATATTAATGATTAGATTACATGTGAACTGACCAGAAAATGCCCCTTCATGCTGATGAACATTAAGGGACTTCTAAATGTTGTTCAAACAAAATGTGGAAAATGACAGGTTTATTCCAAATTGACTACATTTAAAATGTAATTTTACATTTTCTCAAAGTAATAAAAATTCAAGGCTTCGAGTCTCCTAAAAGGCTGAATCAGCTCCCTTGAGCTGAGGTTTATCCCTTTGATTACAGGCTGGAGTCCAATGTCACCTTGCTGACTGTGACTGGGATTGCCCCAGTGGCTGGGTAGCACTGAGGGTAAGTTGTTCCTGGCCGGATAGGACTCTGTCATGATTCATACCTTCTCTCATAAGCACCCTGACATTCCCACGCGTGCTAAACTCCACACACGCTCATCCAGGAACTAATTATCCAAACACGTCTCTCTCTCTTCAATGTTTAAGCACTCTTCACCAGCTTACCTACGCTCACTATTGAGAAGTCTACCACAGCTTTCTCTTGTGCGCTCCAATATTCTTGACCTGACTCCTTTCACTACCCGACCTGGTTCTTCTACTTTTGACTTCACTCTTGCCTAATGACTTGGATTTGGAATATTGGATACTCCCTTCCTCACGGCTTCGCAAAGGGGTCCAACAACTCACCCCTTTCAGAAACCCCGACAGGCTCTTTTGAGTATCATGAGACTTCCTGAGTGCTTGTAGGATTGGGGTGTCAATGCGGGACCTGCCTCTCCTCAAATTGCCTCTGAACCTTCATAAGTGTTGTAAAATTGCCTATTTAAAAAAATATTTTTGGAGTTTGGTCATTGATTTGACCTTTAAAATTAAATTTGCACATAATATCAGACCTCCTGTATGTACAGGAACATATAAAAAAAGGTTTAAAATGTAGATCTTGGAACAGAAGATCCCAGCATGTTTGAAACATGTTTTCAGGGAAGGTAACATTCCTCTTTTACTTTATTCTCATCTGGTCACGGTTGTGAATATAGATCATGAACAAAATGTGTTTTTGTGTTTCTTTGGGATTCAGTTAAAACCAAAAATATTTAAAATTTAATTATACAGATAGCAGAGTTGTGCCAACAA